CGAAATACAACTTTGACAAAGCGAATTCTATTGCTATATGTTTTCATATTATTGTTGTGTTAAGTGAAATATATGCATAACTTTTATTCTGCACTTGTTTTGACCATAGACTGTTTTTTGTTGGATAAAAAAACACATACCAAATCAGACCACAACATGCTGTCTTCATCCAATGAAAACACATTTCATCTTTGCACACGATGAACCATGGAGGTCAATGTGTGACTCTGGGATGAGAGCTGAACATGCAAATCAAGTTTATTATGTGTGTCAACGCTTTGACACTTAAGGAAACTCAAAGTTCTAAACAAAACAAGATACAAAGTCACACAAGGTATTAAAATCATAAAATAATCAAAGAACATTAAAAAGAATGTTAAAAATATAAAATCCCTCAGTTGTATGCAGAGCTAAACAGGACTGTTTTTAACATGGATTTAAACATTGACAGAAAAGAAGCCTGTCTCACATACTCAGGAAGATTGTTCCAGATTTTAGCAGCATGAATCTGGGACAAGCAGGAGGCCTGACCCTGTGCTCCTCAGAGTCCGAGTTGGTTCATAGTTGGCACTAACATTTCACTAAAGTACTTTGGTGAGAGGCCATAGAGAGACTTGTATACAGGCAAAGCTGTTATAAAGTGGGTGGTTTCCTCTATTTCATATCTGAAAAAGCAGCTCTTAAGAAAACAGAATTGTGCATATGAGTTTGGAACAATTTTGGTGGTTTCACTTTTTTAGGTTTGAAAATCAAATTCTTACTTTAAATGACAAAAATACTGCATCGATTTTGAAAGAGCGCTTGTTTGTTTAACAGACCCTCCTTACGTTGGGTTGATAAACTACTCCTAAAGCCACAGCTGCCTGGGGGCACACTCACAGAAGAGAGGCTACCAGTTTGTGCCATTGCGAAATGTTTTTAACATGTGTTTTTATGGGAGTTTCATGGGCCTTATCACAATATTCCCTTCTGTGTCCTGTTAAGTGGCCGTCAGTCCATACAGACATGTACCTCGTTTTAAAGCTCAGAACCTCTGAAATTCAGTTATCAACTTTAATTGTATAGAAAGACCTTTGTTTTTGATTATGTCACAAATTATATAATACAATAATATGCCATGGTGAGATAGTTAACGATAATTTCTGTCAAATGTGAATCAATACAGACATACTATTCTAAAGCTCAGAACTGCCCCAGTTCAGTCAAATTCAAGTTGTCGGCCCCTGGACAAGTATGGGTTGGACACCTCTGCTCTAATGCTTTCTATCAATACAATTTGAGCTAGACACATTACATAATTATTGGAAAGGCAAGGCAAGGCAAGTTTATTTATATAGCACAATTCATACACAAGGCAATTCAAAGTGCTGAACAGAACAAGAAAGCATTAAAATCATAAATAATCATAGTACATTAAAAAAAAGATAAAAATATAAAATCCCTCAGTTGTATGCACAGCTAAACAGAACTGTTTTCAACCTTGTCTTAAACATTGTCAGAGAGGAGGCCTGTCTCACATCTTCAGGAAGACTGTTCCAGATTTTAGCAGCATGAATCTGAAAAGCAGCCTCCCCATGTTTAGTTCTGACTCTGGGCACTAACAGGAGTCCAGTCCCTGTGCTCCTCAGAGTCCGGGCTGGTTCATATGGTACTAACATGTCACTAATATAGTTTGGTGCGAGGCCATGGAGAGACTTGTACACAAGCAGAGCTGTTTTAAAGTCTATTCTCTGAGCCACAGGAAGCCAGTGCAGGGACCTGAGGACCGGACTAATGTGGTCGTACTTCCTGGTTCTAGTCAGGACTCGAGCTGCTGCATTTTGAATGTACTGCAGCAGTTTTACAGCCTGTTTGGACAGACCTGTGAGCAGGCCATTGCAGTAGTCCAACCTACTGGAGACAAATGCATGGATAAGAATCTCCAAGTCTGCTTTAGACACTATGTTTTTGATCCTGGCAATGTTTTTTAGATGGTAAAAAGCTGCTGATGTTACTGATTTGATGTGGCTATTAAAATTTAAGTCTGAGTCCAGTATTACCCCTAGATTTCTGACCTTGTTTGAAGGTTTGAAGGAAAGAAGCCATTGTTGTTATTCTTCCAGATATTCAAGTAATGTAAGGATTATGTACAACTGGTCATTTGTCGTTGTAGCCAGTTCCTTTAAATAATGTGACAAAATATGGTCATATTTTAGCCCTCACTTATTAACAGATAATTTAGTGTCAAGTAATCTAGTATAGTATATATTTTATGGTTAATTAGCTCTTAATTGGTATTTATTTAGAACTTATTAGTCCTCATTCTACATTAAACATCTAACTTACTACTAACTGAGACTTATGTGGGTTAGGGCTACATATTTAAAGTTATACTGCACACTCCAGAATTCTCAGTGTTTTCTACCTTTTGAAGCAAATATATTGTTTCCAGTTTAGTTGAAATTGTGTTAAAGCATTGGTAACAGCTTTTAATATTCAAAGATATTGCACCTTATGAAGCCGTAGTATTTGTACGCGATTATATCTCACTAGGACTTCCAGAAATCTGAAACTACTCCCAGAACAGTCATTTTGATGGCTTCCATTCTAATCAATGGATTTCTGAAAAATAATAAATAAAAGTAAGTTAGTTTTACTAAGTGCTGTTTTTTTTCTTTAACCTTTACTCACACTAACTTGCACTTGATATTCTCTGGTGGAAAACCGGGCTCAAATCAGAACCAGAACAGAACAAGCCCCTTAGGAAAAAGATGCTTTAACTGCCACAGAATGTTCGGCAACCAAAAATGTCTACATTTTAAATGTACTTTCAAATGAATGGTTAAAGGTAAAACTACTTGCATTTAACAGATAAAATATAATTCTTGAAAATAATGACATAAATAAAAAAAATCTTGAACGTGCAGAAAAGGCCAAGTTATGAAGAGATTTTTTTTAAAACTTGAGCAGAGTAATTCCACTTCCAAAACTGTAAACAATTTGTTCACTTTCCAATAATGTGTTTGTTTAATACTCAGAACCCACTCACTCGTATTACACCAGTGCTTACCACAGTGGCCTGGTTAAGCTCGTGGAGCAGATGGCCCAGAGAGCTGTGCGCCTTACAACTTGAAGTCTAACCAAGATAAATGCTAATCAGCGGGTGGGCGGGGCTTAACTCGACCTGCCGGGCTTGATGAGGTGTGGGAAGTAGGTCTGTTCTGGTTGTTTGATGATATCTGTGACAAGAGGACAGACTCATAAGGAGCTCTGAAGCAGTAAGAAGCAAAATCACTTAAGAGCATGTGAAAACATGACCTCGCTGACCGATGCCACAGAGTTGACCATCAGGGTTAAAGTCCTGATTGGGCCACATGAACTACAAATGTACAGAAATGTCACTTTATTCTCAAGTAAAGTAGCTGGAGCCAATTTCCTTAAATGGGCATTTCTTACATAGCTTTAGCTTTATGCTGTAACAGAGCCAAGCTGGAGTTTCCCCTGCGAATGAAGGCATCTGATTTGTCAATACTTATTTTGATTTACAAAGAAAATATCACAATATAGACACCAGGATCACAGAGAGCGCTTAACCAGAGATTTTTAAGCCCATAATGGTGAGTGTGATACAAACGGTTAGTGTTTACTTTTTAATGGAGCCAAAGTGGGTTGGAGTCAAACTTTGTCCATGAAAACAGGTCCGATATAACATGTCGATATACCAATATTGCCCACCCCGAATGTGATTGATATCTCTAAGTTTCAACGCTTTGACACTTAGAAACATAGAACATTTGTTTTAAGCCTGTATCACAGTCTAGGTGTTGTTCTACTGGCAGAATTTAAAACATTATTTCTGAAGAGGATGTGCAGAATTGAGTTTTTCAAGTAGAGAAAGGTAAAGCCCTGTTTCCACCAGCCGTATCCTAGGTTGCTAGGATACAGTACCAGATACCATAGCATAATGGAAAAGCAACCAGGTATAGTTATAGTCTTGCCAAGTATAGGGCTGGTGGAAACGGGGCTGAAGTCAATATAGACAAAAGATTGATTACATGATTCCTTGACAAATTTAAATATTTGAAAGTAGGTTTTAATGTGAGCAGAAGATGAAACCATGTTTGTTTGTATCTGTGTGTAGGTGCAGACCAGGCCAGGCCAGGCTAAGCTGTTGCACACATATGGGACAGGTGGACAAGGCAGGGGGTCAGGGAGATTTCAACTGCATTTGGATTAGAGAGTGAAAGAGAGGCCTCACAGTATCGCGACGTACATAATTAAGACAATTAATGAGTGAAAATCTATTTTGATTTGTTATTGATGATGATCTTTGATTCATCATTGATCAGTAACTTTAATTGCTTTAAATACATATTTTTGCTAAATGGTCTTCCCTTAACCTCAGCCTGTGAGATTTCTGCCGGAGAATTGTCTGTCAGTCAAGGTTTTTCATTAATTTGGTTCAATTAGAATGAAGCAGGAGAGAATGGGCAGGTCCAACCAGTGCTGACATGAGTGGAGTTTGAATGTTCTCCCTGTGTCTGCCTAGGTTTCCCCTAACGCTAAAATTGTTTACTCTAAGTGAGTGTTGAGTATAATTATTTGTGAGTGTGGGACTACAGATAGAAGTGAGCTTCAAAGCTACAATCGGGTATATTTACAGCAATCCAAATAAACAAATAATTAAACTATTCTCGCTCCTCACATTTTGGAAAAGTAATTGATGCTCACTTTAAATGAGTGGTTCTCAAAGTGGGAGCAGTGGAGGAAGAAAAAGTTCATGAATGACCTTTAATGTTTAAAGCGTTCACTTCAATAACAGGACATATGTTTCAGGGATCCTTCCACAAGCTTCTCACAATATTTGGCTGGAATTCTAGCCCATTACTCCAACAGAACCGGTCGTTTTAACGTGATCTGTCTTTTCAGGAGGTGTTGAAGATGTCCACCGCAGATTTTCCATGGGACCCTAGATGAAAAAATTGCACCAAAACTGTATTCATTCCTCAAATGTGGCAGAGATGATTACGGCCCACATGAACGGCTTTGTCCCGGAAGCCAAGGCAGTCGTGCAGGAGCGGGCCGTGGACTGCCCTGGTGAAGACCTGGACGAGTCTGCTCTGAACCTGGTCAAATCTCCCCAATGTACCGCCCACAACGAGAGGATAAAACACTACCAGGAGGAGCTGAGGAAGAGGAGGCACGAGGAGGGAGGGCCAAAGCATGACATCCATCCTGACGCTTCCCTGCGCCTCAAGAAACTCTCCCAGAACCCGAAAGTGGGCATTGACAACCCCACGTTCGACAATAAGGAGAAGGCGGGCAGGGAGAGCACGCACAACAGTCTAACCGGTGAGTGAGAGGCCTGTCCCCATATCAATGCAGAATAAACCTTATTAGAGATGTTAAATGATACAATCACTGTTCCATTTGGGCAACTGCTCAGGTCACACACATGTTCTCCCTGTGTCTGCATTAGTTTTATCCTGGTGCTCCTATTTTCCCTACCATTAAAAACATGTATGAGGTATAATCCTGACCAATAGCATCCATTTCTGGAGATGGTCCCCTGTTACTACGGCAATCACTGCTCCGGACAGAGGCCCTAATGGCACTGAAATATGGGTCAAATGCAGGGGACACATTTACCTACAAGGACAATACAAGTAACCTATTTGTGGATTTGGACACAGTTATATCAGCTGATCATGCACACATTAAAGCTTCAGTGTGGTTATCTTAACAACAGAGAGAGCAGATGCAGAGAAGTACAGGGAAACACACAGTTTTTGTGTGATTTATGTGAGTTCATGGACCTATTATTTTGAGTTTATCGTCAAAATAGACTGGACTTCCCAGAGTGCTTTGATCATCACGAGTCTACAGTACGTTAAAACGCCTGGTCAGAAAATCCTGTTGTTTTCAGTTAAAACAGTCTTCTACTGGTTTGTTTTCATCAGCTGTTGGTTCAGTGTTACATTACAACATGAGGCTTATATTCCCTTGCGGCCAGTATGTAGGCTGGTGCTGTTACTGTAATAGTCCAGAAAATACTGTATAACATTCAGAGATCTTTTATTCGTCCCACTGTGAAGAAATGTCATTGTTGTATGATTTTGTTTATCTATTGTTGTTTAGCACTTTGAGTTGAACTGTGAACTATACTGCACAAATACATTTCCCTTGAACATTGTGACCCACCAAACTATAGGCTGAAGTGTGACTTGTGTGTTTTTTTTGCAGACGTGGAAGACTTCGCCGAGTCCCTGAAATGGGCAGAGCGCTGCCTCAACGACCCCCAGAGCCAGCAGGACACACGGCAGCTCCTGCAGCTTCTGTCCTCAGAGGAGTTCCACAGCGCTTACAGCATCTACAGCGTGGTGTCCCAGCAGATGAGCCATGTCAGCCCCACCTCACCCATCACTGCGCAGGCCCAGGACCTCTGCCTGGAGGTACAAGGTCACACTCAGCAGCAGTAGTAGCAGCAGTAACGGAAGTAACAGCAGCAGCAGCAGTAGCAGCAGTAACGGCAGTAACGGCAGTAACGGCAGTAACGGCAGTAACGGCAGTAACAGCAGTGACAGCAGTAACAGCAGTAGCAGCAGTAACAGCAGTAGCAGCAGTAACAGCAGTAGCAGCAGTATTAGCAGTATTAGCAGTATTAGCAGTATTAGCAGTATTAGCAGTAACGGCAGTAACGGCAGTAACAGCAGTATCAGCAGTATCAGCAGTAGCAGCAGTATCAGCAGTAGCATCAGTATCAGCCTGGGGTCCTGAAAAGGAAAGCAGCTTATAGCAGTGAGAGCCCAGACATACCAGGGGGAGGGAGCTCACCTGTCACGCCCACACAGCACCAGGCACATGTTTATAGTGCAGTATAAAAGACAATTGGACACAAACTACCCCCTGTCCCTCAGGGCAATAGATGACTTTCAACCACGTGACCAAAACTGATGACGTAATCAGCGTAAACCATGTTGGTGGGTCACTGATTTGACAAATCAATGGAAGTATACAACTTTTTCGTGTCAGCCTGGGTGAATAAGCTTTAGACAAAGCAAGTTTGTGTTGACAAGTCAGTTGTTTTTGCTTGGGTAAGTAATAAAGATAATGTTCAGTAATTTTTGAGTTTAGCTTTGTCATTTAGTGTTTATGAAACCAAGCGCGTCACGTCCTTTATATATTGTATCTACAAATGCTATTTGCGGATTGTTGTTTTATTCTTTTTATATCAACCAGTCCCAGAGAGCGCGAGAAACGCCATTGAGAACTTGGTTTGTGGCTGAGAATGACGGAAATTTTATGCCATGGCTGGCCTTAATGAAGCTTGTTTGTAGGAGCACTGCATAGAGTTCAGTTACCTGTACCCAGGAGAAGAGCGAGTTGGTCATGCCAACCTATGTCAAACAAGTGCCCTATATTCCAATTTGCGAGATGGATTTCAAATCTGCAAAAACGAAACATGAACAAAAGTGTAAACCAAACAAGTCCGGGAAACGATAGAAACTAAAGTTGTCCTTGTCACGCTTGCTGTTAGCACAATGAAACACGGCACAATTGTATGGCATTGCTTCAAAGAACTTAAATGACGCTTGAAAGACTCTAATGTGACATTAGAGAGCGTGACCATACAGCTACAGCAGCGTACTACACCACCAACATGGCCGACCTCCGGTAAGCGTCTTTTTTCACAGGATGTGACGTCACGTGAAAGTCATCTATTTTAAAATTCAGATTTATAATTAGTTGATTAATGCTAGCAGATGAATTTTGAAAATGAAAGTATAATAAAACAAAACAATAAGACAAAACCAAGTTTAATGTATTGAAAATTAAATTAAAGCAAAGCGCAGAAGGATAAAGTAAACTTCAAAACCACATATAATGACTGTGATTGAAAAACTCATTCAATCAGGGTCAGGATCTGTCTGGAATGTGAAAGCACTGTGAATCCTGTTTTGAGCATTTCCGCTTTGAAAACATTTTTTTTTTATTCTGTCCATTCTTTATTGTTCTGCTTTCAGGTGCAGAAGATCCTCCACTCAAACCAAGAGAAAGAAGGTCTCGAGCTGAAGACACTGCTCACAAACCCACACCTACAGGTCATATTTCTACACACGCTCGCAAATACATGAGTGTGTGTGTGTTTAGACCCGCCTACTCGGTGTGAATATCTATGACAACTTATTCATGAGCGTATATTACGAGTGGACCGACCGAGTAGGTAGGTCGTTTGTCTTGATGTGGAAAAAGCCGATTTGAACATAAACCAGCTGGAGCCAATATCCATATAACAGCTTTGAAGTGAACTGAAGGAAGGTGAAATAAGGAGGTGAAATAAATGGAAATCATACTGAGGTCAATAGATCATACATTTAAACATTGAAGGGAAAATGTTTATATAGCTGAAGAGAGGGAAAAGTCTTATTCAAATGTTTGCCTCACAAAGTCAATGTGATCAGTATCTGCGATCAGCCTCAATTCTGATTGTAATGTTGGACTTTAAAGAACCTGGAGTTCGACTAAATGTCTTGTGGCTGCATTAACTGTGAGCAAGCCCTATGTTATCGCTTTCTTCCTGATAATTTCCTTCAATTTTGAGACGAGCCAAAGCGGAGGTCTCTCTGGCACCATTTGTACAGAAGATTAATGATGCTGGGCACAGGGAGACATCATGGAGACTAGGCTTAAAGAGGTTTTAAAGACAAGCAGCAGGACTGGACAAATGTGGGAGATGTGAAATGAAGTGGATCAAAATCAAATAAGTCTGGAGACAAGGGAACACTGTGGATAAAAGTAGAAAAAAAGGGAAAAAAGACCAGAAAGTCACTACATCTACAAATTATGTTATTCAAGTCACAGTGGACACATGTCTTGTATCATCACCCTCCTGCATGGGCAAGAAACAGCTCAATAAAGGTGGATCTTTTGTCTTTCTGAAAAATGAATACAGGTTTGGTTCATGAAAGGGCAGAAAAAGCATTGTAGCCTTCCCATAGTCTGCTCTACTCCCGCTCGGCCTCTTTTCGGATGTCAGCTCCTGTTAGCTTTAGTCGTACAGGTGCAAACAGCCGAGCAGGTGGACTTCACGCTTGAACATCCGGACCAGAGCCTCTTGTTAGCCCGCTCTCTCCTGCCCACTGAGCTGCCAAACCGGATCAGATTAACACAGACCATGGATTCACCCACGGGAAGAATTAAAATGGCTACGCACCCAGGAAAAAATGTAGAAATATTTATTTTATCCCCTTATTGAGGACTTTTTTCACTCATTGTCAGTGGTAATGTGAAGCCATGTATTGCCAAATAACATGTTTTTTAATTTTGAATTATAATGACAACAGAAACTCCTCTTCTGACCCTGATCATAAGTCTCCATCCCCAAGTTCTCAGTAGCATGTGTTGCTTTGAAATTTTTGTGGTAGTTGTGGATGAGGTTCTTTATTCTCTCTTGTCTCTCTCTCTGGTCACTCTTTCTAGTGTCTGTTCTCTCTCTCCTAGTCTCGCTCTGATTTCTCTTTCTGATATCACCCTCTGGTCTCTCTCTCTTAGTTACTCTCTAGTCTCTCTGGTCTCTCTCAGATCTCTTTCTGGTCTCTCTCTGGTCTGTGGTCTCTCTGTGATTTATCTTATGTCTCCATCTGGTCTCTTTGTGGTCTCTGTCTTGTCTCTCTGGTCTCCCTGGTATCCTGTCCGATGGTAAAGCTGACCATTCTTTTTGGAAAAAAACGACTTTGTGTAAATTCCTGGGCCGCCTTTGCATTACCTGCATTTTTTAGCTCTCCACAGATCAGCTGTTTTCTGCTTGTATCTAAACTTTTGTGAAGCTAGTCTTGTTGTCCAATAGGAATGTTTGCCTATTTGCTCACGGTAATTTATATGAATATTTATGGCGAGTCTTCTCACACTGATCATAACATTTCCTAAACAGCTGCTAACTCTAAGTGGAAAAGTATATCAGATTACTGGCCCAGGTGTCAGGTCAGGGTGCGAGTACCTGACTTTTAAATGCAGATGGATTAAGACGGATTGTGGACCGATCTATTTGTGATTGAGGCTAGGGCCGCCTCAACAGTCACACACTTTCCTTTTAGAGCTCAATGGAACTCAATCACTCCCACATTGCAGACTTTACTATACTTGTTTGTGAGTTGATTTATCCACGCCAAATATTTATAATAAGTTAGATCAAAAGTAAAGAAATGGCAGATAATTTTTTTATCAAAAAGTCATCCTGAGCCTCTATGGGCGCATGAAATTATTCCAATTGAATCACAAACGCTATTTTTGTTGTTGCGGTTAGAAAATCTCAAAAACTGGAAACGGGACTTTTGTCTTGGGAAGAAGCAATGTTTTTTTCATTCTGAATGAGACTTAAAATCTTTTTTATCATTTATGTATTTATAAGGTGAAACCGTCAAAATGTCTTGCACAACTTGGGTCTGACTGTCAGCATCTTGAGAGAAACAAAAATACAAGCCGTAATATATAATGTATATTGTGGGTGTGGGCACGTGTGGGTGAGTGTGTGTGTGAAATAACTCCAATCTTTTATAATTGTTTAAATGTGTGTTCTATTAATATTTTATATCCTCAGGGAAAAAAATGGTTGAAGGAATTGTGTGTAAGGCTTCATATCTATGCATGCTTTTTGAAGTTGGTATTTTTACTCAACATTAGACTTTTTTGCCAAAACCGCAGCACTAACCGCCCCTTCAACACATTGCACTGTGTGTGTAGTGATGCTAAAACTGTACATGATGGTTTGCTCTGCTGTGCCATTAATCCTGCCTGTCTCTGTCCTTGTCTCTGTCTCTGATTGTCCGTCAACCTGTGTCCTGTCTCTTTACTCGTATGTTTTATGTTGTGTGTGTGTGGGTGTATATATGTGTGTGTATGTGTGTGTGTGGCAGGCGCTGATGCAGGCCCATGATGATGTGGCGGTGCAGGAGCTGCCGGAGGGACAGGTGGTCACACAATACCTTGGAGAGTCCGTCAAACTGGTCCGATTGGAGAAGACCCAGGACACACCACTGGTCAGTTACCACATCTTAATCTATATAGTATATACTGCTAGTAACATTATGCATGTTATACATAATTTACAATTATGTATAACATGCCATGGGAGCCCATATAATCTACTGCCACCAAGTTAAGAAAGATAATTGACTATAATTTCAGGAACTACTAAAATTGGGACAGGATGTGTCTCGCAAACCACAGGTTGGACACCCTTGCTACTCTCTTCAGTTTACTCAAGTGTTATCAAGTGTAATGAAGGACATTTGAGTCTGGAGATGTTTTATGGACTATAAACAGAAGCACCTGTCCTTGATCTGAAATTCTAAATTCTAGGAGACGGGAAAACAGAATAAAAAGGGTTGACAAAAGTGTAGCTGATGCTAAATGTGTCCTTTTTAATGAGGAAACAATTTAAGATAACGTGCAATGTTTTTTGTTGTGTTTGTAGGGTGCGACGGTGCGTAACGACGTGGACAGCGTGGTGGTGAGCCGTGTGGTGAAAGGCGGGGCGGCCGAGCGCAGTGGCCTCCTCAGCGAAGGAGATGAAATCCTGGAGATCAACGGCATCCCCATCAGAGGAAAACATGTCAACGAAGTCCACGACATGCTGGTGAGGGAAACACGCCTTTACTAAACTACAGCATGATGTTCGGGGAACAAACTCTGTGTCTCTTAGATCCTCATGGAAACCAGGAAGAGCTACCAGGGCTATTGTGATTGTCTCAGTACATAGGCTGCCCACATCTCACAAGGGTCAATGCTGCTGTTTTCTGTCCACTCATCACATAAAGACATTGGTTTAAACCTGGTTAGTTGTGTATCTTTATGTCTGACTGTCTTTTGTTTCATCATCAGCAACAAATGCATGGGACGCTGACCTTCCTCCTGATCCCGAGCGCTCAGATCAAAGCTGCCCCTCACAGACAGACCGTGGTATGTCCTTTCTGTCCTTTACTTCTTTTACTTATATGCACTTAAGACAAATGTATTTCAGAGTAGAAGGCTGCTTTATCAGGACAGGATTTTACGGTTTTTAAATATTGGTTTTCAACCTTATTGCTTACTATCCAACTGTTATAATAGTGAGTCACTACCCAATAGATGCTTTATATAATGCAAGTTGTGCCACATTTTTTAAGCAACATTTCTAACGTAAAAATGTGTCTGTCGTCAATATATCAATCAGTAAATCCATCTATAGTCATTCTCTCCTGTGGGTCAGACTCTGTTCAAAGCTCATTTAGCTCATTTAGCCCAGAAAAAAACAATTCTGCCCAATTCTATTTTTTGTTTAGTTTAGTTTGTTTTGTTTTTTTTACAATATAGTTAAAGTGTATAAACACTTGACAATGTACAATTGACAAACAAAAATAGTGCAACAGTATTTTTCACAAAGGAGTAGGAAGAACTTTTTCCATCATTTAAATATACCTAGACTTTTGTACCAGTATATTAAAAATACATGCATATTGAAATACATGTTTTATTTATATTTTAACTGTTATACACTTACACATGTTTTTATGTCGTCACAAATGTTATTTCATAGTCTTACTCCTCAATAAGAAAAACAACATATTTTTTCCTGTTTGTTTTTCTAAGAACCAGAGCCGAATAATTTTTGCATCAACAATGTATATTTTCAAACCAAATAACGTTAAACTTGGGTGATAAAGAAGTCTTCCGGCTGACCCCGGATGCCTGTGTCCACAGATGCATGTTAAAGCCTTCTTCGACTACGACCCTTCGGACGACCCGTTCGTGCCGTGTCGAGAGCTGGGCCTGTCTTTCCAAAAGGGCGACATCCTCCACATCATCAGCCAGGACGACGCCAACTGGTGGCAGGCCTACAGGGACGGGGACGAGGACAACCAGCCCCTCGCAGGACTGGTGCCAGGTGGGCAGAGTTCACGTAGAGAGACAAGAACAATGACATAATACATAGATGCAAAAGAAATATATTAAGCAGATGTCTTTAGTTCCATCTAAAACATGGTTGTAAACACTCCCTATCACTAAAAACATGTACAACAGGTAATATTCTCCTCACTGTAAACCCTGACAAGTAAAGTTTACTTGAAAGTGAGTTCAATTCAAAGAAAACCCTGAGTGATATCGCCAAGCTTTAAATAAACTAACAATAAATGAGTAATATTTACTTACTGGGAAAAATCTATTTAAAATGACTTTGATATACAATACAATACAATACAATTTATTCTTGTATAGCCCTAGGTCACAACAGAAGTCATCTCAGAGGACTTTACAAAACCATTGAAATCACCAACACAGGTCAGAGAATCAACAGCCAAAACACATGAAGAATACAAAGCACACACAGAAGAAAATGTCCATACATGTTGTAGAATGCTAAAGTGTCCTGATCATCACCAATCCTTTCTGTTGGACACTAACTGTCCAACAAGACCCTCCTGCATCGACAAGGAAAAACTCTTAAAAAACCCAGTGGGAAAACGTGAGAAACCTTGGGGAGCACTAGGGAAACCCACAGGGAGGGAGACCCATATGAGAAAGGGATCCGCTCCTCCGGACGGACAGGCTAATGATCTAGGACCTAAGCTAGCTACAGAACGTGGACCAGTGGCCGCTGAACGTGGACAGGTCCGGTGCAGGACCGAAGCACTCCCAGGCGGGTCGGGCGGGGCAGTCCGCAGGTGTAGATGGAAGAGGCCAGGCTCAGAGATCCCGTCATCGTACCATGAAACAGACAATGGGACAACGGTGGAATAGCAATGAACAAACTACAGTCAGAATCCTAAAAATGCTAAACAGATAAAGTAGGAAGGAGGAGAGGATAGTGCTCAAGTTACCATACTTCTCCCAGCAAACTGACTCCCTATGCAGCTTGACTGACACTCTGAGGAGTTTAACCTTCTCCGAGTCTTACCTTCCTAGCCATATGCTAAACTAAAGAGGACTGTTTTAAACCTAGCCTTGAATAAAGAATAACATACAGCATAATATATAACATAATATACAACATAACACAATACATTATTGAATAATATATAACATAATATATAACATAATACAGCATATATATATAATATATACACTACATATTATATATTACCTAATTATATGCTAAATTAAAGTAAAGTGCTTTAAGCCTGGCCTTGAATGTGGAGACCGTATCTGCTTCCTTAACATAAATGGGAAGCTGATTCCACAGTAAAGGAGCTTGGTAGCTAAATGCTCTGCCACCAACAGTGACCTTTGAGACCTTAGGGACCACCAGACGTCTGGCGTTTTGTGAGCGCAACGCTCGACCTGGTTGATACGACACTAACGTGTCTTGGAGATAAGAGGGAGCCAAGCCATTTATGGCTTTATATGTTAAGAGTAGGATTTTAAACTTTATTCTGTACTCCACAGGGAGCCAGTGGAGTGATTTTAACACCGGAGTTATGTGCTCCCTCCTTTTGGTACCTGTTAAGATCCTAGCTGCTGTATTCTGAGCGAGCTGGAAGCTCTTCAAAGAGGCTTTAGGGCACGCTGCCAATAAAGCGTTACAGTAGTCGAGCCTTGAGGTGACAAACGCGTGAATGAGTTTTTCCGCGTCACTTTTAGGAAGGAAATTCCTAATTTTAGCGATGTTCCGTAAGTGGAAGTACGCCGTTTTAGTTGCTTGGCTTATATAAGCCTTGAAGGAGAGTTCTTGGTCAAAAATGACTCCAAGATTCCTCACAGTGTTACTGGGTATTATACTGACATTATCGAGAGTAACCATCTGGTTAGTGAGGGAGTCACGCAGGCGCTTCGGACCGAGTAGGATCACTTCTGTCTTCTCCGGGTTGAGAAGTAGGAAGTTAAGAGTCATCCACATTTTAAGGTCCTTTATGCAGGCACTGAGCTTTTCTAGCTGATCTGTCTGGTTAGGCTTCATCGACAGATAAAGCTGTGTGTCATCTGCATAGCAGTGGAAATTAATTCCATGCTTTTTAATAATGTTTCCCAGTGGCAGCATGTAGAGAGTAAAAAGAATCGGTCCAAGTACCGAACCCTGCGGCACACCGAATTCCACTCCAGAATAAGGCGGCGAGTCCTGATTCACATTGACGAAGTGATATCGATCTGATAAATAGGATTTAAACCAGCCAAGGGCTGTTCCTCTAAGACCTATATCACATTCTAGCCTCTGCAGTAGAATGCTGTGGTCTATTGTGTCAAATGCAGCACTAAGGTCCAGTAGGACCAGCACTGACACTTGTCCATTATCGGCAGCTAGTAGTAAGTCATTTGTGACTTTGACTAGTGCCGTTTCAGTGCTATGATGAGCTCTGAATCCTGATTGAAAGACTTCAAACATATTATTTTCCTGCAGGTGGCAGCGGAGCTGCTCAGCTATAAGTTTTTCCAGGATTTTAGATATAAAAGTGAGGTTTGAGATCGGTCTGTAGTTTGTAAGTATTTCTGGGTCCAGGTTTGTTTTCTTCAGAAGGGGTTTGATTACCGCGGTTTTAAAAGCTTGTGGGACATAGCCACATTGTATGGATGCGTTTATTATATTTACGATAGGCTCAATTATCAAAGGAAGTATGTCTTTGAAGAGCCATGTCGGGACTGCGTCTAACATGCAAGTTGAGGCTTTTGAGGATGTGACCACAGAGATCACCTCTGCTTGGCTCACAGCCATGAATTTATCAAGGCCCACTGAAGAGTCTAAGTGGGAAGTCACGTATGCCGCTTCAACCTGTCCACCACTAACAGCAGGAGCAACCTCCTCCAGCTTGTCACGGATGGATGTAATTTTATTATTAAAGAAGTGGAGAAAGTCGACACTGCTCAGTGAGCTTGGAATTTTAGGCTCGATTGCGCTATGGCAGTTTGTGAGTTTAGCGACGGTGCCAAACAAAAATCTACTGTTGTTTTTATTCGCTTCTATTAAAGTTGAATAGTATTGAGTTCGAGCCCCGCGAAGGGCCTTCTTGTAGTTTCGGAGACCTGCTTTCCACTCCCTGTGGACAGGCTCCGAGTGGGAGTGGCGATATAGCCTCTCCAATTTTCTGACGTCCTGTTTTAAAGTGTGGAGTTGAACACTGTACCAGGGCGACGATGATCTAATCCTAATGGTTTTCTGTTTTAAAGGAGCTGCTGCATTTAATGCAGATTTTAAAGACTCCATAGTGTTGCCCACCGTTTGGTCAATGACTGAGGGACTGCAGCTGCTGTGAACAGGTTCACCTGTTAGGAACTCGCTGTAAGGACCAGGAGGTCGGTATAAAACTATAAATAGTACTGCTTTTTGTTTTCTCCACCCAGGACAGGTGATTGAAAGTGTTAAGTTTTCAAACGAGTGAAAAGCGTTGTTGGTTTTGGGACTAAGAACCAAGTTGGTGTGTGATATAATCGCAACACCACCGCCGCGACCTGTAGCTCTGGCTTTCTGGTAGTTAACATGCGTCGGAGGAGTGCACTCATTCAATCTAACGTACTCGTCCTGTTGGAGCCAAGTCTCCGAGAGCGCAAACAGATCCAAGCCCTTGTCTGTAATAAGTTCGTTTATGAGAAGCGATTTAGACGAGATTGATCTGACGTTCATTAAACCACATTTAACAACCCTACCGCTAGAACTATTTCTGTCTGTCTGAACTTTTATTAAGTTACTGTGTCTGACACCTAGGTCAGATTTCCTCGCATATAGTGCTTTAGACTTCAAGCGGGGAACACACACAGTTTCAATCTGAAGTACGATTGAAGTTAGGGTTTACAGTGCTGCTCTGGTCCTGATCTGGTCCAGTCTATGTGTAGACCAAAACCATACTTTCAAATAGTGATTGGGAGTAGTGCACAAACATGTAGTGAGATGGTTGTATGTGCGGGTGAACAGCGTGGTGTTTACTGATCCTCCCTGGCACCGGCTCTGCTCAGCTGCTACGTCTGCACGATTAAATCCCACCTCAACAATCATTTGGAATCACACTCAGCTCTGTTGTGTCTGCAGGAAAAGTAGGTTTAAAGGAACGGTGAGCATTTAATCCAGACATGGCATACATCTCGGGGGACGTTACAAAGTTGTTTATTCACCAACAACAGATCAGAGAAAACAGTTCAAACACAGGAATTACAATGATATAAATCTCATGGCCCATTGGTCCATTGGAAGTGGGACGACCGCTGTCCAGAAATGTTAAATGTATAGAGGATTTTCTTTTTCCGGGTGAGCTTGTGGGAGCGATGCCAAAAGTGATTTGTAAACAGAGCTTGCACAAGGAGAACTGGGGTCGTGCATATGTCTCGCACATGTTTTAGAAGGCGTTCCCTATCAGGTGCAGGTTGAGCATGTGCATTTTTTCAGAAAGTGGAGAGGGCGGTTCTTTCCTAAAATTTGGAAAAATACCTATATACCTTTAATATATGTCCTTAAATGTCCCAGATCATCACTGTCCTTAGACCTGAAACTAGTGGGAAAAAAATTGAGAAACCTTGGGGAGAGAGTAGATCCAGGACTGAGGCTGTAGATCCAGACATTGGTCAGTACCAAGGAGTGTTGTATGGGTTGTTTTGTGTGATATGAATATTTTAATAGTTTTATGATGACGACGAAGAGCCCTGTTTGGAGGTAGACTCAAATCCAGGACCTCTTGCTTTAATACTGTTTGTTGTTTTGTCAGGAAAGAGCTTCCAGCAGCAGAGGGAGACGCTGAGGAAAACCATCACAGACAGGACCAGAGAGCACCAGCAAGGTCTGACACCTCCCACAACTCTCTCACTTCTGCACATTCTCATTCATACTCATTCATACTCTGTAATATTCACTCATTTGAATCTGCTGCAGGGAAAAACTGGTACAGCAAGAAGAGTAAGAAGCAGAAGAAGAAGTGCCTGACCAGCACAATCAAAACTGGTACAAGTAACTGTGTTGTAGCAGTTGTTTTGTTCAATTCCATTTATTTATGAATACATTGTGCAAAGTTGACATTTCACCAACAATAAATCAGAGAATCAAGCTGTTCAAACATTGGAAATGCAACAATAGCAAACACATCAGTCCGTAGGGAGCAAGCAAGCCTCGGTGATCCAAGATGGCGTCCTATTCAAATCAATGGCTTGTGCTCCGTAGCGCATGGGAGAACCATGGGCACCAAAAGATTAGCGGAACTCGTCCATATTTGGGCATCCTCTGGTCCTCCCGGTTCTGTGCAGAAGATGAGCTCCCATAATGCTTTGCGCCAAATACGCATGTGTGGCTCTCAAGCATGTGCACAGAGGAGCACGGGCGAGTTCTGTTCTAGAGCAGGAGACAAACGAGCTATGTTTTGTTGCACTAATGTGTGGATTTAGAGAAAGGATTTAACAAGAGAATGAAAAGGGACACTAAAACCCCCACAAAATCCGACCTTTATGAAAGCTGTAGGTTCTCTGTCAGCTGAGGTCGAGCTGTTTTAGTTTACATTGAGTTCTAGGGGACATTTTGCTGGGTAGCCCATGCAAATTCTGTCGTTAGTACCGCGGGCGCCCCCTGTGCCCATGGGTGAGAGAGCTATAAGCCAGTAATACCCTATCCAGATTTTATAATAGATCCATGGGAGCAGGGTGATACATGTGCATAATGAGTGGTAATGGTTGTCGTAGAAAAGTAGTCACAATAGCAGTAGTAGTAGTTGCAATATTAGCTGTTGCAGTAATAGTAGTAGTAGTAGTTGTAGTAATAGTGGTTGTTGTTGTTGTTGTGGTAACAGTAGTAGCAGCAGTGGTGTAGCGTGTCTAGCTTCAGATCGTAGCATGTGTATTTTGGAGGCCGCACAGCGTGTCCAGACGGTCAGATTAGTCCAGTGTTTGTGGATCAGACTGAGACATGTGTCTAAAGGTGAAAGGCTCTTAACACCTCCACTGTCACCACAGGGTCCAGCGACGGCCCACAACCCGCTGTGCAACCTCTAATTCTGGAAAAACACACTGCCCACACCCAGCTACGTCAGAGGAGACACTTTCGATGCTCTTATATACACATACAGTATATTTATAGTAGTACATTTTGCTTCATATATTTCTACATTTTAACATATCTATCAAATTATAAATATTTCGACTATTACTGTACTTTATTTTTTCTAATTAATTAAGTTTTATGATTTTTGTGTGAATTAATATGAACATTTAAACAAAATCAAATACATTTATTTAACTGTACTTTACAGTATTTTAAAGGGCCCATACAGTGCTTTTCTACCTTTCCAAGGCCCTCAAAGCATGATTAAGAAAAGAGAAGATAAGATAGACCTTTATTCATCCCGCAGTGGGGAAGTTTCAATGTCATCGTTGCAGCAGAATAAAAACGTTTGATTTTTTATTATCAGAACAGGTCAGTGGTATGTGTATGGACTCAGTAGTTCTCATTGTATAGTCTGACAGCAGCAGGAAGGAAGGACCTGCGGAACCTCTCCGGAGGGTGAACAAGTCTGTCACTGAAGCTACTCTCCAGAGCGGACAGAGTGTCCTACAGGGGGTGACAGTCATGGTCCATCCTAGATGTTTGTTTGTCATGGACGCTCCTGTCCCCCACACTGATGGAACCAATCATCCACTCACACACACAGATTCACACACACGCAGACAATTAGGAGAGGCAGGTGAAGTGTCTTGCCCAAGGACACACAGTAGCGATCACCAATGGGAGGGGGTCTCACAACCTTCCAGAGGACACAGGCTTCACCACTGCTGTCCTATTTAGGGATCTACCTCTGAAATTTGGACAAAAGAACAGAAAAGCAATTATTAAGTGATTTCATTGGCATTTTAGTCATTTCAGAATTCTGCAAATAAATTAACCTGTAACACTGTTGGATTTTGAAGGCTGTAATTGAATTATTTGTGTGGGTTATTTTTCTTACACAATTAGGTTAATTAGGTTAACTTATCTTGTTGATATATACTGAAGCCTCTAACCCTCTTTCTGATGTATAATGGGGCCTTTAACAATACGATACAATGTATTTTTGTATAGCCCGAAATCACAACAGAACATGACATCATCTCAGAGGACTTAACAAAAAATGTTTTCACCAACACAGATCAGAGAATCAACAGTCAAATATAGAACGTATTGGTTCATAGGGAGAGACCAATGTCCATGAATGTTGATAAATGTCCACACATTTTAGAGTGTCCTGGATCATCACCACAGTCCTTAATGTTAGACCCTCCTGCATCAGCAAGGAAAAACTCTAAAACCCAGTGGGGGAAAAGTGAGAAACCTCGGGGAGATTCACATAGAGAGAGGGATCCGCTCACCTCTTTTAGATGTAAACTGAGGCCTTTAACCCTCTTTCTGATGTATACTGAGGCCTTTAACCCTCTTTCTGATGTATACTGAGGCCTTTAACCCTCTTTCTGATGTATACTGAGGCCTTTAACCCTCTTTCTGATATATGCTGAGGCCTCTAACCCTCTTTCTGATATATGCTGAGGCCTCTAACCCTCTTTCTGATATATACTGAGGCCTCTAACCCTCTTTCTTATGTACAGTATACTGAGGCCCCCTTTTGAAAGTGCTCTCTTTTGTATTAAGATGGCGACGAAGTCCTGACCTATGAGGAGATGTCCTTGTACCACCAGCCGGCCAATCGGAAGCGACCCATCGCTCTGATTGGCCCCAGTAACGGCGGGCACGACGAGCTACGGCGCCGCCTGCTATCCATCGAGCCGGAGAAGTACGCTGTCGCTGTTCCACGTGAGTCGGCCATCTTTGTCGTCCCGCAGGATTTGATATCAATGGGGTTATTCTTAAAACGAGAATATTATTCAAAGGGCTCCAGTTGTTTTCCTTGTCATCTTCATAAAGCAGTTCTAAATCATAAAACAGACTCTTACAGTAGTGATGGGCAATCAACACGAAGTCTCCAGAGCGTGTGTCACAAATGTGTTAATGTCTTGGACTCTTCAGCCACTGATTCGCTTTGGTATCAATGTTTCAATGCATTTCATTGGCTCAATAGGTTTCCCAGCTTCTCTTTGGTTCAGATCATTACAGTCTCTCCAACCCATTTCCGGAACGATTAAGGCAACAAGCTACTTTTTTAAGCGGCCCTGGGTAAAAAAAGAATTATATTGGCGTGAACAAGCCTGATATTGGGTACAGTCATCATTTATCATCGCATATTTTATACTAGTGCACAAAGTAAGTGCATTTACAATAACAAATACTGATAAAGAATAATATCTGAAATATAAAGTGTATTATTTATTTTGTTCATTTCTAAATCCTTTGGCGAGCTACCTGGAAGGGGTGGCAAGCTACAGGTCGGAGACCCCTGGTTTCGACATCTTTTAGTGGATAGCACCACAGACTGTAGTGGATAGACTCTAACGAGCTACAGTATGCATCAACATTTGTTTACAATGTTGGGTTGTGAGGAGACAGGAGTGTTGTATAGTGGTGGTGTAATGGAAACACAACCAGGTAGAGAAGAGTGGAACCAAGTAGGGCTGGTGGAAACAGGGCTTTTGAGTTCTTTTCTCTCACATGTTTGAGCACACCAGTGTTGGATCGGCTCATGTTGTGAGTTTTAACAAAGCTGGTTGTTCGCAGACACCACGCGGAGTCCCAGGATCCACGAGCGGAACGGCAGAGAGTACCATTTTGTGAACCGCTCTGCATTTGAGGCTGATCTGTCAGCAGGGAAGTTCATTGAGTCCGGAGAGTACGGGAAGAACCTGTACGGGACCAGCACCGACTCTGTCAGACATGTGGTCAACTCAGGGAAGATCTGCCTGCTCTGTCTGCATACCAGGGTCAGTGTTTGTGTGCTTGTGTGTCTGTGCGTGGGTGTGTTTGCTTGGTCTGTATGGATTGAACCGGGTCTAAAATATCAGGTATAATACTGTGGGTGTAAATCAGTAACAAATGTGGAGAAAATGGACCCCGCAGTGAGACACAGTGTGAGGTCAAAATATAATAATCAACAGAACAATCACCATACACTAAACCAAACAAAAAATGTTCTCAAGACAAGAGAAAGCTCTGGGTCTCTGCATACATCTCAATTCAAATGTGATGAAGGACTCGTTTTTTCCTGTTTGTGGCTTTGTTTTGTTGTTATTTATGAATAAAAACTGATATTAAGTCTGAGTGTGACGTGTTTGTGTTCCAGTCATTAAAAGTGCTGAGAACCTCCAACCTGAAGCCCTACGTCATCTACGTGGCTCCTCCATCCCAGGAGCGACTGCGCACCCTGCTGGCCGCAGAAGGAAAGACACCAAAGGTACAACCTGCTTCCATTTCCACCATGTCCTCCTTCAAAACAAATACTTACCACTGTGTAAAGGCTACAGCTACTGTGATACCATTTTAAAAATCTATAAACTGATGAAACAAGAATGTAATTGTTAAGATACAGCACAGTGCTGCTAATTGACCATGTTGAGTAGGTATGTCCAAACTGAGGCCTGTGGGCCAATTGTGGCCCTTTGTGTCATTTCTAGGACCCTTTGCCACTAACACTAAGTAGTCTTTGAGATTATAAACACAGTTCATAGTATCATCCAGCCAGCTTCAGCTCTGCTAATACTGGTATTGTATACCCCATATAATGCTCAGAACCTCAATGGGAGACCAGAGAGAGAGACTAGAGAGAGAGATCAGAGAGACTAGAGAGCTAGGGTGAGGAGGGTGAGAACGTAGATTGACCGGTAAATTGAGAGCTGCTCCCTCTTTACCACAACAGTCAAATACAACATTTCTTTCAAAAATTACTTCTTCAACACAGACACAACTTACTGTTTGAATTTATTTTTGAAAATATGAAAAAATGTGTGTCGTCCTTTGAGACGGCTGCTTTTGTGATTTTTACCTCTCCCCATGGGTGTGGTCTCCAGCCGGAGGAGCTGAAGGAGGTGCAGGAGAAGGCCCGGGAGATGGAGCAGAGCTGTGGCCACCTGTTCGACTGCAGCCTGGTGAACGTGGAGCCGGAGCAGTCCTTCTACGAGCTGCAACGCCTCATCGAGAGACTGGACACGGAGCCACAGTGGGTGCCCACCTCCTGGCTCTGCTAGACTCACTACACACGACCAACTCATGTTTGAAGTGCCTATGACAGGTTATCGCTCCATGAACCGTCTTTTACATGATTCCCAACGGCTATGGTTATGGAGCCCCTTTTTCCAACTCTGATCATTTCAACTTGAGAAGTCTTCTCAAAAAGCGAGTATATTGAATTCTAACCTGTCATATGCACTTTGCGTCCACTATATTCTATTGAAAGGACTAAGGAAGTATTTGTCCCCAAAATGGACTTTTTTCTGGACTTTCTAACAAAGCCAAAACTTGCACATTTGCCTCTGTGGTTGAAGAGGTAGGAGGACTATTTGTTTGTCTGTCAGTGTCTGTGTTTTCCACATTATACAAACAGTTTATGCAAAGACCAAATAGAAAATCAGCTATTTATATTTTGTACATAAACGTAACATATTTTTGTGCGATTGTCGGCTTTATGTAAGTAGACACCAAAAGGACGTCTGGGAGAAGCTCCAGTGCAGTCCAGTGCAGGACCATTGTCAGTATTATTATTGTCTGTTGTGTTCATGCTGTTCCAAAGAAATGTTCTCTTTTAGTGTGTTTTTTTATGTATCTATATGTATATGGTATTTATATAGATAGATACATACATAGGTATATACATGTATATGAATTATGCAATTTTACCGATCAGTCGAATCATTGTGACACCTCTGGCCAGTGCATATTATTTAATTACAGTATTTACCATAGACTGTATACAGATGGTCAATGAAGCCCAATAGAGAAGTGCTCAAGACTTTAATTTAAAAGTAAACTCTCTTTAGCTCAGTAACCCTTTTCTCTCACACTTACTTCATTTTGGGCTGAAGAGCTCTGTAACCATGGTGTTTATATTGTGATATTTTCTTTGTAAATTCAGATATGAGCCATATAAGGATTGACCAATCAGCTCTCTTCAGTCGAGGAGGAAACTCCAACTTGTATTAGCAACATGTCTAGACCAGGGAACAATGTCCCATATAAGGAAATTGGAATTGCAATGTATACCCTACTTCTTTAACCATGTATTTTCTACTTTCTAAAACATTAAATGAAATGCAAATGATCATGATTTATTATATTAGCAAAAAAATGTAATCATAATTTGAAGACTATATCAATCCTGAATTACTAATTGCAGCTGGGAGTAGATAGACTCTGTTACAGGCCTGTGCACTTGGTCAGAGGCTGGTCGTAATGTTTTGGCTGATGGGCCTGTATCTGCTGCTGTCTTCCATCTGTGTGATCATGTGTAGTGTCACTAGTTCTATGCACCGCTGCGTCCACACAAATATATCAAGTGGAGTTCACACCGAGTTTTGTCCTTCACTTTCACCACACTCGTGTCAAATAACGAAGCAGACGAGAAAATTCAAAGAAGCTATAGTCCACATGGTAGTCCACAGGATTCATCAGGCTGCAGTACATTTGTTGTGGGATTTCTGCACAGAGTAAGCTATTAATATTGATTGTATTACAGCTCTGGGTTCTTTAAGATTTCCACAGCAGCCGGTGTGATGTCTCCTATTGCCTTCAGCCAAACACAATTCATCACGTTTTCACTGATTCTTTATAAAGCAAATACAGTAAGGTGAGTATTTTAAAGAGGTGTGGTTTCAGATTTTCACAGCACACCAGACTTCACCGATTTCCTCAAGTCTTCAGGTATTGATATTCCTCATTCTTCAGAGCCTTTCCTTCTCAATTTTATTGATCTTTGTGGCATACATTGTAGCTTCAAAAACATCTTCAAAATCACTTGAGGAAATGAGTGGAGTTTGGTGTGCTCCTATTTGGTTAGAATATAAACCTGCGGCCACACTTACATTGTTTCACAGAGGGAATAGCAAAATTCTTCACTACTCCAAAGAAACTGTTAAGATTATTATTATCATACCATATTGTTATTTATTATTGTGACAGGTCCAAGCCTGCGATCCCCAAGATGTCTGCCCATTCAAACAAGGGTTTGGCTCATGCTCGCACCATTGACGTCTCAAACATTAGCAGAAGTGACTCGTTCTGGCCAGCTCTGGGTCTCCTGGTGTTGTGCAGTGGTTCTACTTCCACAGGACCAGGGTAACACTTATGTTTACTTCATCAATATTATAATCATGTTGAAATCCAAATCTATCAGTAAGTCATACCCGACTCAAATTCATGTTTCAGTTGTACACATTTATTTTTGATGGGTCTTGTTCATGTTTTACTTGGGGACAAATCAAAAGGTTTGCATGTAAATAAATGGGTAAACCACTGTACAATACAATAACTTTGTAATGTGATAGATATATACAGCGCTTTATCGACAAAGCAGTCATGTCTTAAAGGAGAAAAATATACCGTGTCTCCCATCCTATAAACTTACTATTAACCATATCATAACACATCAAAAAGATACTTAAGAGTTGTGTTTTGATCCACTACTTTGGGTTTACATGTACATTACTATCTTTTAAGTTGACCAGAGCTCAAAAGCTTGGTCCCACCGTGTGATGTCATATATTGCTGATCCAAAAAGAACTTCCATTGCACATTTAAAGTCAATACTTAAAAAACAAACATATTCTTGATTATTACAAGGCTAGCCTACATCCATGCTAGCATCTCATATTTCAGCCTCACAAATTAAGACTTTTTGCAACAATTCAAATGAATAGCTTGACTCCAGGCCTGTTTTTGATGAGCCACAAGTCGACTTAAAGCTTAAAAAGTAAGTTCCACAAGATACTTCTCCTTTAAGTTCTCTGGTAAACGTACAGTGACATATCCAACACAACGCAGCACTCACAGTCAAACACATACACAAAAACAACTTCCATCACGCTGAGTGGGAGACGTGACGCGGCCCGACAGGCACTCAATAAATATGTGGATTTACGATGTTTTATTCGAACAGCATGTCCTCGTCGGCCTCCTCCGTTAGCATGTTAGCTGGCTCGGCAATAGGGCCTAGCTTAGCCAAACGCGCTGCAATCTCTAGCTCAGTCCTCTCCCGTAGCTGCTTCTTCTTCTCCTGGATCTTCTTCAGCCTGTGCACAAACGGTTCGTAATTAGGCAAATGTTTTTATATGATGAAGCGAGAATACTTTGTCATAATTTCAAGTTTGGTCCAGTTGGTGAGAATAAAGGAGAACGCTCAAACATTTTTCAAAAGTTAATTTGGTTGCATTTCCATTTTGCTTTAGTATCTGGTACCGTATCAGAGAAACCTCACCATAACTAATCTGGGAAAAACCTTGGTAACAATGGCTTCATGGTACTAAAGTGTCTGTTAGAATACTTTATTACCAAATTTTACCTCAATTAAAACATAATCTAACTGTGAGCCAAATATCAACATGGTAATTGTTCTGACAGTGTATTATCCCTTTTTGGCTCGAGACTATAGAGACAGAGGCCAGAGAGTTACCAGAGAGAGAGAGCAAAGAGAAAGACCTGAGCCCCAGTAAACAACTTGTTCTTTTTTCCGAGTGGACTGGAGCAAAGTGAGTGTCACCTGTAAAACTCCTCTCTCTCGCGCTCGTCCAGCTCTGTGATGATGTACGACAGCGTGCGGTCGATCCGAGGGATGATCACTGCAAACAAACACCAGAGTGAGGCCATTGTCACTGTAACTGCATAGACATTCTTTAATCACATACCATGTTCGATGGCATTCACACGCCGGTTGGTGACCTTTATCGCCTGGTCAAGGGTGACAAAGGACGTCTGCAAAGATAGAAAAACACAGGCTTGTGTTCTGATAAATAAATCTGTGGATAAAGCAATGATTCTGACTGTTAGAATGATGAGATCTTAATAAAAGAGAGCAGGTTCAGATTTTAGAATAAAATGAATACTATTTTTGTCTTCTAGGAATAATAGCTTTAAATTTAGGGATTACAGCCATGAAGGCTCTTATTAACCTTCCATCAAAGTGAATAGTAATAATTGCAAACTTGCACTCATGTGTAGCTTGTGTGAGTGTGTGAGAGAGAGAGGGGGGGGGGTGTGTTTGACCAATATAAATGAGTGATATGAATGTGAGTTTTAAACAAATTGTGCACGTAAAGACTTGTATTTTGGCCAAATGTAAACTACATCCATGAACGTGTGTTATTTTTAATGTGATATAACATCAGCCTGCCCAGGGACTACAGGTGGAAATTAGCTCTTGAGCTATAATCTGGTACAATGCATCTCTCCTTTTGAGGGTTAATGTTTATTGTGCACTGTCCTTGTCATCTTAAATAAATGAACTAAACTAAACTAAATTAAAAATCATTTCAGGGGCCACTGAAATTCCACTTCTGCTTGACATCCGTGGACTCAGGGAAACCGATCCAGAGGCTTCTCTCTATGTACGTGTTCCGTCCAAAGCCAGTGTAATATAAATAATAGAAATCGTCCAAATCGTAGTACAAGTAGCGCCCCCTACCTGTAAAGAGGCCAGCTCCACCAGCAGCTCCACAGCCCTCGCATAGTTCCTCTTCAACCGGGAAAGCTGCTCTCCTCCTCGAGCCAAACCGGTCAGCTCGTAACCTGGAATCAGATCACAACATTAACCACTTAACTTAAGAATATGTTTATATGTTTCTGTTGTATAGAAGGAGTCACTCACTGTCCCCTCCCTCCTGGTAATGCTCGAACACCGGCAGAGTCACACCTGAAAGAAGAAAACACCAGAAAAACCTATGACACTATGGTCCCTAGAACCACCCGCTCTGCTCTGCTCTACTCTTCTCGACCTGGTTATGTTCAGATATCATTATCCTAGCAACCTACCCACTACAAATCAGGGTAAATTCCTTGGTAACCTTGGCTTCCAGCAGTATTCTGGCCAATTACTGTCAGAACACTTCAGTACCAGCTCGGCCTGGATAGAACCAGGGCCAAGATACCGGTTAAACTGGGCCAGTGGAAACACTCCCAATCGGAGTAGAGTAGAGCCGTATTATTTCACATTAAAGAAACAGAAATATTTTCAAATCCTGTTGGATCCAGACCTGCCACGTTGTCCTTCTTGGCTCGGACTTTCACTTGGGCTTTGTTGACGTTTTGGATAATAGTCGTGCTGCAGAGAAAATGATACAGATTACAGATAATAAATTGATCCACCGTGGTGAGAGCCAGAGGGTTTTAAAACACAGAGGAACTCTCTTCTACCACTGTAATTCTTTGGCAATAATCAAATTGAGTTTTTTCCGCTAAACATTGGATTTAGATTTGATGGATGGATGGATGGATTAGTGTACAGAAGCCCTGGGGCAAAAGTTCACAGCGTCATCCAGCCAACTTCAGCTCGTTGTGACACTCAGAACCACTGAAATTCAGCCATTGTCTTTTACACAAACACATTGACATTTGTTTTGATTGTGCCACAAAATTCTGTCCAAGTAGCTGGTGGGATGCACATTTGTCATTAAGCCAACTTCAGCTTTGTCTTAGCTCATTTTAAATCTCAGAACAGCCTGAATCCAGTCAAAACTGTTTTACAATCCGGGTGGTTCCGGGTTGTGTCCCTGGACAAGTCTGGTGACCTACAGGGACCTCTTACTAAAATGTTTGAAAAACTTCTGCATTAAACCATTAACGGAAGAAAATATTTGCGATTTAGAAAATGAAGCAGCTTTAAGATTAAAATAATTTCATTCCCTACATTAGTGTCAGATATCGGTACATATTGAAATCTACAGTATCAGTGTTGCAATTAAACAAGCTTGATCATTTAAATAAGTAATCAATAGTAATCAAATGTAAAAAGTTCAATATGTCTTCTTTTATGTCTAAGGATTAAAAGGTTTAGGTTTAGGGATAAAAAGTTAGTATTTTTTTATTTATATAGCACTTTTCACTGACCAAAGTCCACCCAAAGCACTTCACAATGCTTTTGTAGTACATAGTAATTATTTTAGGCTTTTGAATAATTAGAAGCTTTAATAAATCCAGCACAATTTTTTCTGCTTTTCTGGCTTTTCCACGTGATATCATCGCCATGGAAACAGGAGGGGCAAGTATGGTTTGTGGAGGAGCAAACCTTCACACATTAAGGACATGGTTCTTTCTATGTTTTAAGGGCTACAGATCACTCCTGTCTTCTATTATCAAAAGTCACGCATTAGACTAAATACAATGTCATGCTGCTGAGAATCTACTGAGAATTACTTTCCACTTGTTTAAAAATAAATTGTTCTTTCTACAGAAGAAGATGAGTTGTGTGTTGTTGCATGATAGCTTAGCATGTTATAAGTGTATAAGGGGAGTATGTCACCTGAAATCTCCAGCAGCAAACTTGGCCTCAGCCAGAGAGAAGGCCGCCTCTCGCATCACTTCTCCCATTTTGGTCTTTGTCTGAGTAAAGACAAAAAGCACTGTAAATATGCAACAATGGAAGGGCTGTGTCAACATGTGGTCAGTTAGATTAGATTAGATTCAATGTTAATGTTAGAATGTTTAAAACAATGCATCAAAATCCAGTCTAGCATCTAACCAAAAGTATCAGATCATATTTACAACACAGATAACTACATATGTGTCAGACTGAACAAAGCTAGACATTAAAGTGCTGTGATGAAAACTGTCTCTGAGCCTGATAGTCCTGCTAATTTCCCTATTCCTGGTCCTGGCTCTGGTCCTGGCTCTGGTCCTGGCTCTGGTCCTGGCTCTGGTCCTGGCTCTGGTCCTGGCTCTGGTCCTGGCTCTGGTCCTGGCTCTGGTCCTGGCTCTGGTCCTGGCTCTGGTCCTGGCTCTGGTCCTGGCTCTGGTCCTGGCTCTGGTCCTGGCTCTGGTCCTGGCTCTGGTCCTGGCTCTGGTCCTGGCTCTGGTCCTGGCTCGGGTCCTGGCTCTGGTCCTGGCTCTGGTCCTGATGCCCGGATTTGTAATGGGGAGTAATAGTCCAACAATAAGGATGTTATTGTTGTGGGGGTTGTAATAGCGTATGTTTTGAATGTTTTCTGATCTTATTTGTGTTTTTCAGCTGTGGCCAGAGGGCAGAAGAGAGTGGGTGTAGGATGAGAGGAGTCCTTCACAATTTTACCAGATGTTACAAACCTCAATGATTTTACGTAGAATTAGGCGAAACCTCATAGACAGAGCGTCAGACTTCTTCTTGAGCAGGTTGCGTCCGGTCTGAGCCCCTTTCAGACGAGCCTTCATGATGGTCTGAGCCCTGTCGACACAAAGAGCCGTTAGTGAGAACTTCATGAACTTCAAACCAGGAAGCTGACTGCTTTTCTGCCTGTTGTAGATCCATTTTTATTATTTTGTAAATCGAGAGCTCTGACTGCAGATGCTGCTCCCTTTTCACCGCAACCATTGATTATTTACATGTTGCCTTACTGTAACATTTAAATAATCAATAGTGCATTCAAACAGTTAAGTAGCAAGGGCCCTGACACGTTTTTCTGTAGGGCCCCTTGGTAGGTTTGGCTGCTGTCTCTTCCTGGCTCAGTTCTTTCCCAAAAAACTGAGTTTAGGAGAGAGACAAGTCCCCAAACATAATGCATGTCTTCGCCAAAATTACTGGCTTCATGACAATAATTTAGATTGCGGAAAAAAATACAATGGTTGTTCTACTGCTTTCATTATAAGACGCCGAGTTACCCATGTAATATGTAAGACCTGCATAAGAGAAAATATCGATGTTGCAGCACGCATACAGGACAGTGGTAAGAGCACACAACATATACAGAGAGAAGCTGTAAATGCTTCAGTAGCAACCAGTGTCGCATTCAGTTGAAAAGGAGAAATCATACTGACATTTACGCTGCAAAATCCCTCGTAAATAACTCTACTACGCTACTAAATACACATGTATGGCCAGTGTGCAATCACGCTGTCAGTTACACAGTTGAACATATGTTTATTCTTGCAGGCTCTACACATGACAGCTCACTGTCGACTGGCACTGATCACATGATACAATGTGGGCTGTTCCTCTTTTACTGTTAGTGAATAGATAGTGCATAACCCGAGCAATGACATCTGAACAAACATAACGCATAAACATTACTATTTATTTACAATGAGCTGTATTAGGCCCATAGCATGTAATAAACATGAGTGGGTTAGCCGTATGCTAGCAGCTTACATTCTAGAGGGGAAGATGTCGATCCGTTCTTTCCCAGACATCTTCTTGTCCTTTGGTTGAAGATAACACGCTAAGAGAATAAAAAACAGTCCTAACACACTGCGCGTGACATGTATAAAATCTGATATCTGTCTTTTTAGTTGCAGGGTTTGCGGCAGAGATGGAGGACGGTCGTGATCTGGCTGACTCCTGCTGATCAGCTGCTGTACTCACGTGACAAACGACAAGTGCCTTCCGCGCATGCGTCATCTGAAAGAAGTGCATCCAAATTCTTGAAAACATATTCATTCCTTCTCTTTCATTGTCCATTTTCTCAAGCCTGCGGCATTTCATCTCTCCATACACACGTGTTTAACGGCCTTTTTTTCACTTCACCAAGACTGTATCTTATAAATACATTCATTTTCAAACGATAAGAGAGTAGCAGATAAGGAGATACACTTTTGTCTGAATTGGGAGGCAGCCTAACTACAAAATAGTTATTTCTGTGACCTTTACTCCCTACTTGTAGACCATAGACTGTCACTAGACTGTATATGTAGACCCAAAATATCTGTTCTTTCTACTCTATACGTATTAACATTTGCAGATTGGTTTGCAATGCTTCTAAGTTCAGATAAATATTTGGTTTCATGAAGATATTCGTTCATGTTGTGTTTGTTATTTTATAGTCATTCTCCATTCTGGCAAATGGAGAATCCTGACTGGAGACACTACTCTCACTTCACCACAACAGGTCGATACAGAGAATGAATGAACAGCTGCGCCGTTTTGTCTCACGCTCCAACCTTCCCTCACTGTGAACAAGACCTGAGATACATCAACTCTTCCACGTAAGGAAGGACTAAATAATAATAATAACAATAATAATTGTGTTGTTGTCGTCGACGTTATTATTAAAAGTTAAAATTTTACAGGCTCGTCCGCTTGCTGCCCTGTAAACCTGGCAACCCGAACTCCGGCCGATCTTTTCCGGGTTGCAGCAGCGTTAGCAACACTCATGAACGTGAGCTAACGGAGCTAACGACCCGAGATCCGCCTCAAAAAACACCAAACAAACATCTTAAAACAGCACAAAGTCTCGACACGGATCAGTCCAATACCAACGCGCCGGATTACAGACACCAGGTGAGTTTCTCTGCTCCGGTCTGCTCTGTGGTACCAGACTTTCGGGTGATGGGTGTTAGCCGCGGAGCTAACAGGCTAACCGGAGCGGTGCATGTGCCGCATGTGAGATGTTCGGAGAGGAAATCTGCTTTTTAACACTTTTTATACACGGCACTGTTTTGATATTCCGATCTGGGTTAAGCTGATGGTCTCGGCAGTGATGCTAGTTGTGTTTCGTGCTGCTGGTCCATATGCGTCCGAGGGGTGTTTCTGCTGAATTGCATCATCTCCATTCATTGCACACAACACGCTCCTATGACCACTTTGTACTTTTAGTGTTTCATATAGTTGTACATAAATGACATCACTCCGTTTAGAGGCATAGGCTTAGAATTATTTTATTCGCTGTATTTGACCATAAGCGAGTTTACTTTGAAGCCCACAAATGACTAATGCTCATCATCGAAGTGGTATTGAAATAGCTTTTAAGTTTTTCCGTAACTATCACAACAAAACAATAACTTATTCACACAGAGAGCCCTACACATTGTTTTTAAACTGGATTAAGAACAAACAACGAGCACCCTTTTGACAGAAGTGAAAATTGTAACTATTTTGGTTGTAGACAAGGGAAATACGAATAGTAAAAATGTTTGTTAAAATGGATATCTCCGTTTTGGGGAAAAAAGGGGTGACACTTTAATTGTATAGCACTGGAATAGTTTTTTAGGGAGAGTCAGGTCTACTTGGTAAATAGCTTTGTCCAAGTGAACATTAGGGTAATTATTCAATGTAAGGGTTCATTGTTTAAAATAGCGTATACTTGTAAATATTCTTATGCTAGAATGTGTGTATGTGATGTATACAAGACATTTTATGAGAAGTCGCCTGTACTTTTTTGCATTTGTCGACTGTGGACATAATAGGAGTAGGACTGAGAGCAACATGCCTGCAAAGCTCTCTTCTCGATGTGACCATTCCAGTGGTGGCGAGAGGACGTGGCTGTTGCTGAGAAAGGCTTCATTAATCCCTGTAATCTGATCCATGTTACAACATTGTGTCCATTGTAATAGTTTGGAACAGTCAATCTTGTCTTCTTAGTAGATTGAGATATTTGGATCTTCTTTACCAGAAGAAGTAATGACTTTAGGTTAACCAGTAGTTACTCTTGTCTGTTATAGAAAAAACAAATAAGTCAACATTGTGTCCAACCGAACTGTCATAATTCCCTTGTTGTGTATAGTCAAGGAATGTATCATTTGTGCACAAGATCTATAGATGCAGAGAACACATTATATATTATACTAGTGCTGGACTCTATAGACAGGGTTTTCCCCATATGGACAGATCTCTACAACCACAAAGTATGACCACATTAGTCCAGCTCTCAAGTCTCTGTATTGGTATCCTGTGGCTCAGAGCATAGACTTTGAAGCAGCTCTGAGGAGCACAGGGACTGGCCTCCAGCTTGTACTCAGAGAAGCAGGACTAGACATGGAGGCAGCCCTTCACATTTATGCAGCTAAAATATGGAACAGCCTTCCGGAAAATGTGAGACAGGCTTCTACTCTGGCAGTGTTCAAAATCAAGTTGAAATAGTCCTGAATCCTGAAGGATTGTATCTTCACTCTTTTTAATGTACTGTGGCTTCTTTTGTAGTTTTATTCAGCACTTTGAGTTCCTTGTGTATGAACTGTACTATACAAATAAACTTGCCTTGTGTTGCAGCGATGCCGGGGCTCAGCTGTCGCTTCTACCAGCATCGCTTCCCGGAGGTGGAGGATGTGGTGATGGTGAATGTGCGCTCCATCGCAGAGATGGGCGCCTACGTCAGCCTACTGGAGTACAACAACATCGAGGGCATGATCCTGCTGAGCGAGCTGTCCAGGAGACGCATCCGCTCCATCAACAAACTCATCCGCATCGGCCGCAACGAGTGTGTGGTGGTGATCCGGGTGGACAAGGAGAAAGGTGAGAGCTCCATCGTCTATCTCACTCTCTCAGCTTTTTCTCCTTAAACATCACAGCTCAAACTCATGTTAATCAGGGTTGGTTCAAAGTTAGATTTTCCATTCATGCGTTATCTTCTGCCAGGTTGTTGGTGCAGCAGTCTGAGCAGAGACGCCCAGACTTCAGCGTCTCTGCTCAGACGCTGTCCTTCCAGTGTGTCCTGGGTCTTCCCCTGGTCTCTTCCCAGTGGGACATTCCCAGAGAGGCATACAGGAGGCATCTCAAACAGTCCGAGCTCCTCTCCACGTGGGGTAGCAGCGTCTCTACTCAAAGCTCCCCCCAAGTGACTGCGCTCCTCACCCTAGGCCCAGCCACTCTGCGGAGGAAACTCATGTGGAACTTTTAAATGTACTGTAGTTAAGTGTTAGAATCAGACGTGAGATCTATTTAAACACAATTTTTTTCTTGAGCATTGACTTTAAAATGAGGTATAACAGGTCATGGCCCATACTCATATATCACATCAATGCTGCCAGTTTAATCATAATTCCAAATCAGTTCAGGAGCCTCTGACACGTGTGAGCTTCATGACTGTTAACCCTATATGCCCGCGTGCATCGGCGCCGATGCACATGTTTTACAAATGATCAATTTACTCGCGAACGGTAAAACGTAGCAACTTACTTTTTTTTCCTCTGCGATGCACGGAGGATAAACTACGTTTGTCTGAAAGTCCGTGTCCAAAGCGTGACCGTGAGGTACAAACAGCTGTGAGATACAAACACACGGGGACTGCCAAAGATCGTCAGAGAGTGAGATGTCTCACTCCTCTGTATGTACTTGTTCTCCCACAGTTGAAACTACAGCTGCGATTGCAATAACCGGCTGAAGAGTGCGCATTATTGATAAAGACGATAATAAATACAGTAAAATGACATTATGTGTATATGATGTATATAAATATATGTATTATATAAATAATTGATGTTGTTTTTTTTTTTTTTGCTCAGTTTCTTATGTTTTACGTTTTTTACAGCTGTACTACTGAAGCAACCCCAGCATTATAGACAAACTGCTTCAGAAAGGGCATCAGGAGTGTTTTGCTTTTATTAGAGGTGCAACGGTTCATCACTGATCCGTGATCCGTTCGGTTCAACGTCTTCGGTTCGGTACAGACGTAATCCGCGGTTTGATTTATGAAAAAAAAAGTTGTGCGCACGTTGTTCAGTCCACACACAGCGCGGTCATTGCGAGCGGAGGAACGGAGATGCTTGAAAGCCCCGCGTCATTTAAATCCCCCGTATGAGAGCATTTTGGCTTCACTGTAACTACACTGATGATTAATATTCGACAAAACTGTCACAATGTGTAAATACTGTGGCACAAGAAAGACATGAGTGAAAAAAGCGCCTCAACGACCGCTTATTGTTGCGGCATTTAAGCAGCTCCTTTACGCACAGTCAGACCGGGCTAAAGTCAACTCTCCCGCGCATCTTCAGCTGCGCTCACGACTGACACTTGGACGTACCGCAGAAACTATAATAGATCCATGAGCGGAACCGCTCACTTCATCACCGCAGACTGGGAGATGAAAAGTCTGGCGCTGCAGACACGCCCCCTCTACGACAGTCACACAGTCACACAGCGCAGGTACTCACACAAGCAGCGGAGGAATGGAAGACAAAGGCCCAGTACTAATATCCCAGTCACAACTGATAATGCCAAACATTAAATAAATGCAGTGAATAAGGCTGGGCCCAGAATGGACCCCCTCCTCGGGAGAATCAGGAAGGTGGTGTAATATATGAGGGTAAATATCCTCATAAAGTGCCTTCTTATGTTGCACTTTGTGTTGTTTTCCATTAATTATGTTAAATAGACATAATTGGATGGAAGGAATATTCCATCCATCCATCCATTTCCTTCCCCTTAATTCATTTCTAGGTCAGGGGGGGCAGTCAGAGCAGGAGCCGAGTCCACATGAGCTGTGTTTATTAAAAAGACAAAACTTTTTTTTTGAAAAATGAACCGAAAAATGAACCGAACCGTGGCCTCTGAACCGAGGTACGAACCGAACCGTGATTTTTTTCAAACCGTTGCACCCCTAGCTTTTATAGTGGAAATTTGTAAAAAGTATAATAGTTAGAGATTGAATTTTTTTCCCCATTATCCCCAAGACCATAAATAACATTTCTATGCAGTGTAAACAGTTGTTTGTAGCATTTCATCGTGTTTTTTCAATACATTTTTGTTAAATTGATTTTCCGTTGGATTTTTTTCTTTGTCTTCATGATTCCATTATTTTTATATAATTCATATGACAGCTTTACAATATGAATATTCTAAAACCCCAGGTTGTACTGAAAAAAACAAAGTATACTGCTTGACTCTGCATCAAAAGATGACTGTTTTATGAACAATTATACACAAAGAAAACCAGGCGAGGAAAGTTCCCCAAAATAACCCATGTGCATAGAGGGTTAAACTGTGGAGTTGCTTTATCAAACTGTTTTCCTCATCTCCATTTTCTCTTGTTTTTAAGGATATATCGATTTATCCAAAAGAAGAGTGTCCCCAGAGGAAGCCATCAAGTGTGAAGATAAATTTACCAAATCTAAAACTGTGAGTAATGTCTCTCCTCTTTCGTATTGAAGTTTCTCTGTCCGAGGAGTTGTTTTCCAGAGCTGTAAATTGCTGAAATATATCAAAATGAGTGAAAACAATAAAAACCTGATGTTGTCCTAAAGCTAATGTAATAACGTTTCTTTGTCCTTTGCTTCAACAAATGAGTTTCTAAACAAACTTTCCACCAAGAACAAAGTATTGAAGTATTGTCTTAACCCTCTAGGCGCCACGGTTGACTTAAGTCGACAAGCTGCGGTACTGTTAAAAACGGCCGAGTGTGACCAACTGAGTGTCAAAATTCATTCATACTCCCTGCCACTAGTTGGCAGACATGTCTGACTACCTCCCTGGCCCCAAAAAACGTCATGCTCCTATACAAAATATTTGAGCAAGACCGCGTTGAACCAGTGCAGAAATCATAGCGAAGCGAATGCAGCTGCGGGGCAGCCTGCGAGTGTTGTACCGCACCAAACACTAACTTTAGACACTTTGCACAGGGTCTGCAGTGGGAACAGTGTTTCTTAGAGTAAGGCCAAGTCATTGGAAGGCTCGGAGACAGGTTAGATTTGCGGAGAACAACCCTGGAACTCGGGTCGGGGCGCCGCGACCTCCCGCCTCCGCTCAAGTTTCCGCCAAAGTCTCCGCTAAAAGTGCTTCCCACATATTTATTTTCATGCCTCACGTAATCACCGGGACAGTAATGTGTTGGAGAAGCTTTGTCTTGTGTGTGTTAGACGAGAGAGAGATCAGGGGAGATGAGAGAGAGAGCAGGGGAGACAGCTGCAGCAGGAGGGTCGCGGTGACGCGCTTCTCCTGGAGGCGCGCGTCTGGGCAGACTGCTCACAGCAGCAGCATGATTTGTATTTTTTACTATTTTCATGAGCATTTACAATGTTACAGTGTGTGTTCATGTTCTAGTGATAAATATATGTCTGTCAGTTAGAAAAATACAAATTGTATGAAAATTCTAAAATCCACTATTTCTAACGCCAAATGACGTCATAATATGCAAATTAGATGGGGGGATTTATTTTCTACATACACTTTGGACCATCCTTTATATTTTTCTAATTTACAGAAAGCCTTTATCTATTATCACTTTTAAGTTATAGCCTTTTGAAATTAAGATGTCAAAATCGAGCGTTTTGGAAAAAAACCTCTGGCGCTTAAAGGGTTAAATGCAAATTGTGGCCCCGACCGACGGTGTCTTTGTGATTCGGGCCCCAACCCAAAAAGCCTGTTTGAAGAAAGTCTCTTAATCCGTGGTCTCTAACATGCAGCTCGCGCTTAAGTATTTGTTGTTAATAATCAGAAGATGGCACAGTTTGAAATAGCGGTATATCATATTGATCCAGGAGCTAAACTGCGTGTGCAAAGTAAAATGGCGTGTGGAGTGTTAGAAGTTTGACTCTATCTCTGCGTGTGCATGGATCGGTTTTCTCCAACACAAGATAAACGTACCCCTGAACTCATCTAGGCCTGAAACGCCTGGTAAAACATCCCTGTAAAACCTCTGGCCAACTTTAAAATCACCCCCTAAAACCTTAAATTTAACGTCTACTAAAGTATTGCTATCTCAGCCTGGGTGGCAGATAGAAACACAGCCCGATAGATGGAAATGGAGTCCTAAAGATGGAGGAGGCAGAGTTCTATAGATCAGAGGTGTCTAAACCGGTCCAGAAAGGGCCGCTGTGGCCAGAGTCCCGTAGGCGGCGCGGGGCCAGAGTCCCGTAGGCGGCGGGGGCCAGAGTCCCGTAGGCGGCGCGGGGCCAGAGTCCCGTAGGCGGCGCGGGGCCAGAGTCCCGTAGGCGGCGCGGGGCCAGAGTCCCGTAGGCGGCGCGGGGCCAGAGTCCCGTAGGCGGCGCGGGGCCAGAGTCCCGTAGGCGGCGCGGGGCCAGAGTCCCGTAGGCGGCGCGGGGCCAGAGTCCCGTAGGCGGCGCGGGGCCAGAGTCCCGTAGGCGGCGCGGGGCCAGAGTCCCGTAGGCGGCGCGGGGCCAGAGTCCCGTAGGCGGCGCGGGGCCAGAGTCCCGTAGGCGGCGCGGGGCCAGAGTCCCGTAGGCGGCGCGGGGCCAGAGTCCCGTAGGCGGCGCGGGGCCAGAGTCCCGTAGGCGGCGCGGGGCCAGAGTCCCGTAGGCGGCGCGGGGCCAGAGTCCCGTAGGCGGCGCGGGGCCAGAGTCCCGTAGGCGGCGCGGGGCCAGAGTCCCGTAGGCGGCGCGGGGCCAGAGTCCCGTAGGCGGCGCGCGGGGCCAGAGTCCCGTAGGCGGCGCGGGGCCAGAGTCCCGTAGGCGGCGCGGGGCCAGAGTCCCGTAGGCGGCGCGGGGCCAGAGTCCTGTCTGCTACAGAGGTTTTATTATAAACCTTCTCTAGAACAATACAAAAGAATATACAGCTTCCACGTAGGAAAGATAATAAAGCAACCAAATATTTTGAAAGTAACGAATATTTCTCGATACAATAAGTTGACAAGAGTTTGGCAATAAAGTTACACTAACTGTGTGGGGGGACTCGCAGGGCTTTTTCTTCAATATGCAACAAAAAGACAAGACTCCTGTTGTGGTTTGTTCTGTTTGATTTGTTCTAAACATTTGACTACAGCCAGAATGGGTTAATGTGGCCCAGCTCCACCCAGACCCGACCCTCGAATAATCTGAGTTTGAGGCCCCTGCTCTAAATCTGGAATGCTCGTCTGTCGCAGGTGTACAGCATCCTGCGGCACGTGGCAGAGGTACTCGAGTACAGCAAAGACGAGCAGCTGGAGAGTCTGTACCAGCGCACGGCCTGGGTGTTCGACGAGAAGTACAAGAGACCCGGTTACGGCGCCTATGATGTCTTCAAGCAGGCCGTGTCGTGAGTCAGACTTTCACTTTCACAACTTTAGACACATAAGCATTCAACGAGGGGGAGGGTATTCGAGCACAAGAAAGACTGAGATGATGTCACGTTATTTGTGGTTGGCTTCCTGATCAAGCATTGTTTTATCTAAATTGGCAGAGACCCCGCGATCCTGGATGGACTGGAGCTGTCTGAGGAGGAGAGGAATGTTCTCATCGACAACATCAACAGGAGGCTCACTCCACAAGCCGTGAAGATCAGAGCAGGTGCCTCCCCAAACCCACAACCCCCAGACTCGCCATAGGCCATTATTAGATGACAATGCTAACCCGCTAGCTCAATGAAGTCCTAGGGATTTTTTACGATATTGATCACAATATAATGCAGTTTGATTTATTATATGCATAATCCAGATATGAGCCACACAAGGATTGACCAATCAAATGCCTTCATTCGCAGGGGAAAGCTTGCCATAGCAACTCTGTTGGCAACACGTCTGTCCCTGTTACTTCGCCAAGCTAATGGCGTGACAGAATTTCTATATATGAAAATTGGCTTCAGTTAGCTTATGTTCAAATCTTTATGGTGACATCACACCCGATCAGTCCACTCCTAATGTACTCCCTTTAGCAATGTTTCTGTTTTAGTTCCTCCTTCCTCCTCTTGAGTTTCACTTTGTGTGGACAGGCCTGAGTCACTCACAGATCTGATGCGTACATGTGTGTTGCAGACATCGAGGTGGCCTGTTACGGCTACGAGGGCATCGACGCAGTGAAGGAGGCTTTGAAAGCAGGACTCTGCTGCGCCACAGAAACTATGCCCATCAAGGTCAGTGGCTTTAGGAGATTGAGGTGCACTGTTCACCCAAACCAAACACTTTGTGGTTCTTCTCCATTTGTGTGTGAGCTCTTCCACAACAGCACTCCTCTCTCTGCTCCTCCTCCTCTTCCTCCTCTCTACTCCCTCCTACAGTATTCCACTGTATAGATGTATCAGAGTACTCCAGTCTGTCATGTGGTTTCCAGATCAACCTGATCGCACCTCCGCGGTACGTGATGACCACGACCACTTTGGAGCGCACTGAGGGCCTGTCGGTGCTGAACCAGGCCATGGCGGCCATCAAGGAGAAGATCGAGGAGAAACGAGGAGTCTTCAACATCCAGATGGAGGTAATTTTCAGCTGTCGCTGGTCTCTCTCTCATCCTGTCTGGTCTGGTCTAGGGATGTAAAAAACTATGAATTTTCATGACCAACCACTGAGCGGTTGAAACCGGTTAACCGCGTAGTTTAAAATATTCCACGTTCTTTGAAATAACAGCCGTTTCGAGCTGCGTACTTGTCATAAGTGCAGCTATGCGTTCAACTGGATCAGAGCCGGGACAGCAGCGCCAAAACCAGCAACAGCTTCGGCGCCTTTGCGCACAGAGAACTGCTTTTTTAATCTTCCCATTCTTCTGTTTTTAACTGGTTAAAGCTTTTTAGCAGCAAACGACGGCTCGTTCACATGGTCAGAGTGACGAGCTTCGTCTCGCAGGTCTCAGCTAAAGTTTAAATACAAGTGATGTGTGTGCCGGGCCAGCAGCACACACAGTGTGCGTGCATGTGTGGCACATGCGGCATGAATGTCGGCCTGGAGTTTACTAATGCATTGACGCACACAGCTAGAGACGGACCCGCTCGTCAAACCGTGCAAATGGGGTTTAACCCTATGAACCCGTCTGCATCGGCGCCGATGCATGCGCACATGTTTTACAAATAATCAATTTACTCGCGAACGGTAAAACGTAGCAACTTACTTTTTTTTCCTCTGTGAAGTACGTATTCAGGGCTTTCCGAAACTAGCGATGCACGGAGGATAAACTACGCTTGTCTGAAAGTCCGTGTCCAAAGCGTGACCCGTGAGGTACAAACAGCTGTGAGATACAAACACACGGGGACTGCCAAAGATCGTCAGAGAGTGAGATGTCTCACTCCCGTATTTACTTCTTGTCTCACAGTTGAAACTACAGCTGCGATTGCAATAACCGGCTGAAGAGTGCGCATTATTGATAAAGACGATAATAAATACAGTAAAATGACATTATGTGTATATGATGTATATAAATATGTGTATTATATAAATAATTGATGTTGTTTTTTTTTTTTTGGCTCAGTTTCTTATGTTTTACGTTTTTTACAGCTGTGCTACAGAAGCAACCCCAGCATTATAGACAAACTGCTTCAGGAAGGGCATCAGGAATAAAGAGTTTTTTGCTTCTATAGTGGAATTTTGTAAAAAGTATGTTAGTTAGAGATTCAATTTTTTTCCCCATTATCCCCAAGACCCTAAATAACATTTATATGCAGTGTAAAAAGTTGTTTGTAGCATTTCATCGTGTTTTTTCAATACATTTTTGTTAAATTGATTTTCCGTTTGATTTTTTTCTTTGTCTTCATGATTCCATAATTTTTATATAATTAATATGACAGCATTATAATATGAATATTCTAAAACCCCAGGTTGTACTGAAAAAAACAAAGTATACTGCTTGACTTTGCATCAAAAGATGACTGTTTTATGAACAATTATACACAAAGAAAACCAGGCGAGGAAAGTTCCCCAAAATGACCCATGTGCATAGAGGGTTAAAATAGTGTTATTAAGAGTTAACGCTGTGACGGTCAACCACCGGTTAAACGGTCACCGATTTACATCCCTAATCTGGTCTCTCTCATCTGGTCTTTCTACCCATTCTGCCAATTACAAGTATAAAGTGTAAAATGCTGAACAAACTGAGCCTGATTGTTGAACCGTGCACTTGCAGCCGAAGGTGGTGACGGACACGGACGAGACGGAGCTGGCCCGGCAGCTGGAGCGGCTGGAGCGGGAGAACGCGGAGGTGGACGGTGACGATGATGCCGAGGAGATGGAAGCCAAGACCGAAGATTAACCACGGACCAGACATGTGCATCTATGGACAGAGCCTCTCACAGGGTTCCACATGTTACCATAACTCATACTAGTCCCGTCTAATGGCCAACCACCTGGTTTTAGTCTGACACAGAAGTTGTAGGGCTGGCTTTATGGCAGAGGCTTGAAGACGCAAGTAAACACAGAAGGAATTATCTTAGTTTAAAGCTTGTAAATGGTGATAAATGTATGCCATATTGCACACTCCTACAAACTCCAAACATGGACACATATATAGCCCCGTCTCCACCAGCCCTACTCGGCTTGGCTCTACTCTACCTGGTTGTTTCCAATACACCTTAGAATCTGGTACTGTATCCTAGCAACCTATCCACGACAAAGCAGTATCTGTGGAAATTATTTGGTAACCATGGACTCCTACAGCACAAATTTCTATCATAAGACTTCAGTATCAGCTCGGCCTGGATAGAACCAGGGCCAAAAGGGACGAAAGAAGGACCTGGTACCGGTTAAACAAGGCTGGTGGAAACGCTCTCAATCAGGGTAGAGTAGAGCAGAGTCAGGTTGCGGAAATGGGGCTAAAGATACTTTAAGTTTGTGGGTTTGGAAAAAGCCGTGGCCTTTCCCGTTTGCAGCAGAATCTGGATTTGAAGAAACTGCTGTGTTCTGGTTTTTACAGCCAACATTCAAACACTTGTAGCTTTCTCATGGCGCCAATAAACATCTGGAAGTTTTGAAATGTGTCAAATTTTGTTGAAACATATCAGTGGGTTCTTTTCATTCGAAACCGATCTCTGATTCTCCGATCTGTTGTTGACGAAATTAACTCTGCAAAGTCATCAGATTCGTCTGCGGTTGTGATTTAAAAGTATATTGGAATATTTTCCCTAATTTTAGGAAATAACCGCCCCTGACTCTGGTCTCATTTGACGAGCTTGTATCACCAGAATGATTGACAATGGGGAGGACCAATAGTCTTTAAGGCAATACACAAATGCATTGAAGTAGACTCTTTGACCTGAGAGCTGATTGGTTTCTCTTTTCTTCTTTGTCTGAAAAAGCTGATATTAAGGTGTGACCGTAGCCTAACGTTACAAGCATGAGGAAACGACTGGAGAGAAACTCCACACTTAATGTTTAAAAATGACTTACCCCATCTTTATGGTACATGAATATATCAACTCTTATAAAATTCTACATTAGATATGTCTGTGTAAAGTGAAGGTCAGTCACTTTTTGAACGACAGACCCTATTGGACCTGCCCCCACAAGTCCCTGATTGGACGAGACCAATGAAGGGTCTCAATTGTGCTTTTCTCCAGCAAATCTCACAGATGAGCATTAGGTGGTGCACTTTATTTAGCTCCCTATGGCTATTCATCCTCTACATTTGACCCATCCTGATGCCACGAGGGCATGTTATCAGGAGCAGTGGGCGCTGTTGATGCTTGGTCAGGACTGGTCATGTTTTTGGTGATAGGGGAAACCAACTTTGAAAGACCCTGTTCTGACTGGGATTCAACCCCAGGACCTTCTTGCTGAGAAGCAGGAGGGCAATCCACTCACAGAAGTACTGTTTAAATCATGCATCGTACTTATAGGGCTTTACAAAGTTCTGAAGTGTGAGTTTCTGATGTGTTGTGGGAGAGGGTTAGAGACTGGGGGCAGCGAAGACTCAGCCCTTGTTTGGCATAATGAAAAAAACACTTTCTGTATTTTCCAAATCAATGTTGCTCAAGATAACTTCCAGAGGATGTACAGAGACATTTTTAAAAACTTCATTTCGACTGCTTGAAATGTTGATCCACAAAATGTGATATTGAGTGTAATTGGGAACTGGACTTTATAAGAAAAGTCACAGACTAGATGGACAATGCTAATCCACTCCCTCAAGCCTAATAGAGAAGTGCTAATGGACAAGGTTTTGCTTCAACTTGCTCTGGCTCCTATTGACTTACATGTGACAGTTTGTCACACTCCACATTTAGTGCCCTTTCTGTCCTTTTTATATTGTCTTTGGTCAATCCTACATGGCTCAACTGGTTTTACAATCAGTCACCCTCATTCCCAGGGTAAACTCCAGCTTGCCTCATTGCATCCATCTCCTTCACTGATCCTCCTGCAGGTGGTGAGTCCACAGGAGGATAGCTGCACAGTCAGAGCATAGCATATCCTTGATCTTTCAGCGGAAGCATCAAGCAAAGTGGGGTTAAGTGTCTTGCCCAAGGACACAACAGCAGCCATCAGAGGGTATCCGAGAAGGTCTCATGGTGGGCTCGATCCCACGACCTTCAGGTTCAAAGGCCAATGCTCTACAAGCCACTGTCGCCTTGCATAAGCTGCCTCGTTGCAGTCTGACTAACGCCATCAGAACAAATACCCACAGAAGGAAGTTGGCTCCAGCTAGCTTGTGTTCATCTGCCTCTTGCACATCATTGGTCAACAACATTGGTGGTACTCCACTGGGCCAGTCGACTCATACGCTCAGTTTCCTGACACTTCTGCAAGAATTAGGGCATTCTTCAGGCTTTTCATTATAACCAACTAAACAAACCAACATGTTATCTATAAAAAAGCATTTTTATTCAAATTCACCAATACAATAAAGAGCATTTCTCCTTCAGTGGTAATGTGCTCGTGAAACCAGCTGTTCAAGTTAGCGACGGTCGGAGGAACACCTGCGTTCACCGCCTCTTCGGAATGTGAAACGTGGCTCAAAATGAACAAATCTTAAGATAAATTTGGACCAGAAAGTTCCTGAATCGCTTTGATTTTCAGTGCTTGACCAGTAGAGTCCATTCAGAGCTCCTCCAAACATTCAACAAAAACTTTATTTACAGCAAATGCACAATGAGCACCTGAACGAGAGGAGGTCTGGAAGAGTCCGGTGATCCAGGTTTGTTTGGCTGACATGATGGCGCTACACTTCTATACACGTTAAACTCAGTCTTAATCAGTAAGGCCTATTTCACAAGTCCAATCTTCTTGGCTTCCGTTTCATAAATTAGCAGTCTCCACATTTTTACAATAAAAACTTCGGCTTCTTCATCGAGAACCTGAATCAAGAAATAAAGTGTTAATTTCCACCAAAAATTAAAAAAGTTACACATGGAGACAGACACATATGCCTGGGGTACCCACAAATCTGACCACAGCAAGTTTCAAATTAGTGTTATTTGGTGTGACTTTTTCTAAGGCAGAACATTTTCCTGATTGGAATGTAACTCCTGTCGTCCTGTTATATATTCTTTGTCTTTATAACTAAACCTCTAGAGCAGATAGCTCCTTGTATTTGACAAAAGCAGGGGAGGGTCATAAGAGACACTAGTTATCGTACTCCTCGGTGTTTTGAGCGCACGCCAAATCACATTTAAAAAGAAAAGCGTTGAACAAACTGAATGCAAGCAGCAGGTTTTTATGTTGTAAGGCTCCGCTAACGAAATGGCACGAGAATCTCTGAAGACCTCAACATTTAATATTTGCGTGATTTAACGGTCACTAAGAGACCCGGCACATGCTGCCTACATGCCATGTTTTTGCTTCCATGTTGGCAGTCCATAAAGCTTGAATGTCACTGGGTGGAGTGAAATCCAGTTTGAGAGACCATAGAAAGAGACCAGTAGGAAACCAGAGAGAATAATGAGGGATCAGGGAGAGGGTAGAGAGAGAGAGACTAGGGGGTTCTCTTCCATATGTGAGTGAAATCTAGTTGGAGGGAATTCAGTGTACAGTACTACAGCGGCTTGCAAAATCAAGATCCCGCTCTCGCACTGTAACGGAAAACTAAGATGTGGAATAATAATCAGCATTAACGTTGCTCACACCTGCCTCTCTTTTTAGACTTTAGCAAAGGGCACGTTCAACCCAAAGTATCACCGCAGGCTGACTGGGCAAAAGTAGCACCGATGACAGAATCTACGGTAATTCTAGGGTTAAGGTTTTGATAGGTTGGTTCCATTTCTGTGGTTTGAAAGTCAGGTACACCAGCTTTAACAGAACTTACCATAGCAACATCGTCTAGTATTCCTTGTGGTGTACTATGAGCCATCACCTGCAGAAATCAAAAATTTAACATCTGAATCAAGTCGCTCCAGACCAATGCTCCACACAAAGACACACATGATACCTTTGAGCAGACAAAGTCCACTAACGTCGGCTCCTCCTCTCCAATGTACTCGATGATTTTCTTATTGATCCAGGGACGAACACGGCGCTCCATCAACGTCTGAGCAACACAAAGATTTAGAAAAGTTAAGACATTTACCCACATCAGCCGTCCGCGCCGAACATGTCCATCTCTTAATTAACGGACAATGTTTAATGCAAATCATAACAGGATGTTTTAACACTAGAACTCTCCATTTAATTACCCAGTGTATAAAACTCCATGACTACATATACATTTTTTTTGTTTCTACAAGCCGTTTCCATGTCATTTTTACTAATGTGTCTTTTGTAGTTCCCCCTCTCTCTCTCTTCTTCCCTACCTCCCTCTCTCTGGGCCCACTCTCTGCATGCACTGATACACAGTTAAATTGTTGGTAGTTTGAAAGTTCTGTACCCCAGCTTTAACCTGGCCCTGCCCATGTGTACCCAGACTTCAACCTAAACGCCACACCCCCCTCCGTCACTCACCGAGTCCACCATGGTCCAGTCCAGGGGGTAGGAGAAGAGCTCTGGTTTCCCCGTGGGGATCTTCTCGATGAGGCTCTTGATGTGCTTGCGTTTCTCCTCGGCGTTGGCCCCTTTGATGCTGGACAGACCGGCTCCGTCCACGCCCAGGCTCTTGTCGTCGTCGTAGTCCAGAGGCACCAGCTTTCTCTTCCGCGGCAGCTCGTCCGCCTCCTCGTCGTCGAACTTGCCAAACACACTATCCACCGGCAGCTTCTTCCTCTTGGTGGCGTTGGGCTGGCTGGGGCTACCCGTGGAGCCTGCTGCACAGAAGACATCCAGAGAGCGTATATTAGGAATGGACTGACCAAGTGTGACATCACCATTGCGCTAGCCTCAATGTGAAAGAGGCCAATTTGAACATAAGCTAGCTGAAGCCAATGTACACATTTATGGGCATTTGTACAGCGTGCTGTAACAGGGGCAGACATGTTGCAAACATGGAGTTTGTCCAGCAAATGAAGGAATTCGATTGGCCAATCCTTAAACGGCTCATATCTGGATTTACAATGAAAATATCACAATATAAACACCAGGATCACAGGGCACTCCCCCGTGGATTTCTAAGCCCAAAATGGTGAGTGTGACACAAACGGTTACTGAGCTAGTTGAGTTTACTTTTACATGCAAGTCAATATGAGCCAGAGCGAGTTGGACCAAAACTTTGCCCATAAGCACTTCCTTATTGGGATTCATCGAGCTAGCGGCTGAGCATTGTTCATTTGTACTGAGCTGCTTTTTTTAAGCTAAAGGTGTTGATCATGGACTGTGGCGGGGTTGCAGCTTCAGCAGTCAGACTGTGTTGGTGAAGAGGGAGCAGAGTTCCCCGCTCACCTCTGGTCATGAGCTTTAGAGAAGACTGCAGCTATATTCAGTATAAATTAGTTTCTTGCAGTAGGTGGTGGAGCGCTCCCTTAAAGAGTGATGGATTTTTGTGACTGCTGCCACCATGACCCAGCAACAGGGAAAGATTGTTATATGCATCCATCCTTCTTCCTAACATGTTGCACATCTCCTTCACCAGAGGGGTCAAACTGATTCTAGAAAAAGGCAGCAGGTTTTCATTCCAATCAAGCAGACTCCACTGGACTGACTTGAGGAAATGGGTGGAGTCTGCTGTGCTTCTGCTTTGTATTGAAAACCTGCAGCCACACTGGCCCTTTCTGTAACCTGGTGACCAGTCTGGAACACCCTTGATTTAATATCAATACTATCTGGATTTCACTTCCCGAATCCAACGCCACACACTCATTATATAAGGAAGAATAGTCGAAACTATGTCTAAACAGGGAAGTGGTGGACATTTCTTCATATCTCTGCTGTATATAACTACTTTGAATATCTGAATAGAATCTTCTGGAAGCACAGACCCAGTTTGAGGCTCAGTCCGATCTTGGGCCGGTGTTCCTCCTGTGGCAGTGCGTCCGGAGGAGAGTTCTCATGGGGGATGATGATTCCGCAGGGCGACTCGTCTCCCGGTGTGTTGGGAGAAGCATTCCCACTGGCAGATGACACCGAGGGTGCCGCGGTGATGGGCCTCATGGTGGGCTTGAGGCTGGGAGGCTTCAGGTCGGGCTCCTCGTGGTTGGGCTCGTAGTCGTCTTCGTCCTCTCCTTCCTCCACCTCGTCATCGGAGGCAGGGGGCCGTGGATGTGGCTCTCGCTCTGGTTCCACTCTGCTCTCTCTGTGCTCTCTGGGCTCGGGCCGGTGCTCTGCTCTGTGTTCTCGGTGCTCGCGGTGTTCCCGGTGGTCACGCGGTGCTCTGTGGTGCTCGCGCTCCTCCTCTGGCTCAGGCTCCGGGATCAGCGGCTGCCGCAGACGCTCCTCCTCCTCTTCCTCCATCTGCACAGATACAGGTCAGTGAACTTTGGACTAGAGCAGGCTGTCAAACTCATTCTGGTCGGAGACCAAAGTGTTTAAATCCACAAACATCTGCATATTCTTAGGCTTCTTTACATTATGAAGGTAATTTGACAAAAGGATTCATTTGAGTTGAGAATATTTTCTGGTAGATTTTTCTGAACAAAACTAGTTCAGTTGCCGTGTGTTTGGACTGAACCAAAACTGTGTCAAAGTTAAAGGATTTGTCAATGATTACTTTTGTAAATTATTACTTTATTGTAAATTAAACATTTGTACTTGTGTGTTGGGTTCAAATTTATATCATAATATTAATTTTTATTGAGCTTTCTTTAACAAAGCAAGTCTCACTCATATTTCAGAGTATCTTTTTCAGGAGTCCTGGCCCCAGAGAGAGGAGAGCTATTATACATGTTTTTGTGGTAGGAGAAACCGGAGCACCCAAAACGAAACCGACGCAGCCACAGGGAGAACATGCAAACTCCACACAGTAATAAGTAATTGAAAATAATTTCAGGAGCCACTGAAAATGGACTCTTAGACAGTACATGTTTTAGACCAATTCAATTTTGTTGTAGCAGTAAATCTCACAGCATGTGTGGAGTGGATCCCTCTCATTGTGGGCCTACATAAGATTTCTCGTTTTTTTCTTGCTGGGTTTTTGAGTGGTTCTCTGATCTGTGGTTGGCGAATCTACAACTTTGTAAAGTCCCCTGGGGCGACTGCTGTTGTGAATATGGGATATACACAAATACATTGAATTGAATGGTCTCAGAGAACGTGTCAGATCTTGGAATATTTCTATAAAAATTCTAATTAGAGCAATGGTTGATGTTGCATTGAATCAAACAAAAAAGATGGAAAGCCTATTTGTACATTGAACAGGTTTCAAAAGTGATGCTCAGACAACCCCACATCTGGTGCCGAGGTGCTTCAGTATTCTGTCTCTCCTCCAGACAAAAGCCAAGTGGTCAGTGGTGATGAGATGCACTAGGACAGACTTCATAATGACCTTCAAATGCATGTTCCCCTCTGGTCTGCTACCCCCTCCTTCTCTAACACACACAAACACACCACACACCCACACACGCACTCACCCTCCGGAGCTCTGCGTCTGGGTCCGGGTGTCCCTCGTCCAGAAGCCGCTGCCTGATCTCCTCCAGCTCCTCCTTCTCCCTCTTCCTGTCTCGCTCGTCTACCTCAGCCTCCTTCTCCCTGTCTCTGAGGCGTTTCTGCAGCGCACTGCCCCTACAGGTCACACAGGAGATGGCAGGTTTAAGAACACATGAACTGCAACGTGAGCAGGGCACATTGGATTAGCTTTGATACAATCTGAATTTTATGGACCAGTTGAAAGACATTGTGCACTTTTTGACATGAACCCTTTAGGTACTAGTTTGTCAGATTTGTCAGGTGGAGTACCTAGGCTTTATAAAAAAAAGAGATAACTACTCAAAAGAAATACATGAGAAATAATCCAAAAATATAACGAAACGTTGATTAAAAGCCAGGTTGCCGTAGAGAGAGGATTTTAGTGGATCCAAGTAGCCTTTCAAATGCAAGAGTGATTCAAGATAGCAAGGTGGCAAGGTTCTTGGTGCAGTGAATAGAGGTGAGAGGCAAAACATTTTGTATGAGAGAGTGATTGTGCCGACTGTTGTATGCTGTGGAGATGTGGGGAAGAAGGAAGTGAAAGGAAGAAATTGAATGTGTTAGAAATTAAATGCTTGAGAAGTATGGTGTGTCTAGGATGGATAGAATGGGGAACAAAGATATTTTCCATGACCTGGTTGGTAGAGCAGCCGCATGTGTATTGAGATGGTATGGGCATATGCAGAGAACGGATGAAGAGAGATTGTTGAATTGTTGCATGAGCGGTAGCATACAGAGGTAGGTCAAGGTATGGATGGAATGAGGTAGAGAGCGTTGAAGCGAGAGTTTGCGAACAAGATAGGGAGGCATGGAGAGTGGAGAGATAGATAATGACAATGGATACCAGATGACATGAGAAGGAGGTCCCACTTAAGTCACTCAGGCTCATAATCTGGCATGTTTTCTTCTCTACTAATGCTTAGAAGAAATTCACTGAGTTGTTAGGAGTAGTTTGGCATCTGGGGCAAAGAGTGAGAAAGATCATCAAATTTTACCTGTAATATTTTGGGTCATCTCTGTCGTCGTCGTAGTCTTCAAGGAACTCTTTCAATCGTTTGCCTTCTTTGACCTAAACACGTCGACCAGTTAGTTCCATCCTCTCATGAAGTGTAAATGTGTATATGGTTTTTAATCGCTTGCCATTTCTCGCTTGCGTTCATCCTCTCTCTCTGTCTCTTTGGCGTAGTCTCGGGCCTTTTTCCTCTCCCTCAGCTCCCAGTTTTTTAGTCGCTTGGGTAAGAAACAAAAAACATTGTCCAATCTGATCCGAACAGTTTGACTTGTGTAAAGTATAGAGTATAATATTCCAACCTCTTGATAAGCTGCTTCTTTGTCCCGTAGCTTCCTCTCGAGTTTCCTACGCTCGTACGCCTCCTCTTCGTCCTCAGGGTCTCGCTTTTTCTCTCGCTCACGGTCTCTACTCACCTCTCTGTCAAAAGAGATTTTAAATGGAATATTTTCAAATGAGTTGAATACAGGTAATACTGCAGTTATCAAAATACTAGTCGTAAGTTATACCTTTGTAAAATGTATTTTTGAGAACAAAAACGAAATATTTTACCATTTATAGTTAGTGGTTGGCTCAAAATAGCCTTTGCAATAAATGGCATAAGTGGCCATCCAAACCAAGCCACAAGTCTCCAAGATGGTGGCTCTTTAAGACAAAGTTGGCTGCATTTTGGCTCTTTCTGGTCCTCTCAGAAACTGCACAATGATGACACCTCCATGAGGCTTTGTAGCGCGAGAGAATTCAGACCAATCAGTATGGGCTGAGTAGAGTGGGACAAGTTTGTTGCCCAAAATTATGAATTTATAGAAAACCGATCCTGGCAGAAGGCTGCTGGGTCACCAGCCATGGTTATCAAAAAATACCCCCAGATACTGGTTTGTTGTGGGCCAATTGCTAGGATACTAGGACCAGATACTAAAATTAATGGAAACATAACCAGGGAGAGTCCAAGTTGGGCTGGTGGAAACAGAAATAGATCGACGTTTCAAACCAGTTTGGATCCTGTTGTAAGCCTCAACTAGAGACTGATATATATTAATCTCTTAACAATTGGGTAATAGTTTTCCCTCAATATTTAAAAGTTGCACTGAAAGCATTAAGCCAAACCCCATATTTGACTGGTATAGTGCGTGTATTTTGTGTTTCCACGCGTGCACACTGACCTGGACCTGCTGCGCTCAGTGCTCCGGTCTCTGCTGCGAGACCAATCCCGGTCCCGGTCTCGCTCTCTGGTGCGTCTCTCCTTATCTCGATCTCTCTCTCGCTCTCGCTCCCTTTCCCGCTCCCTCTCTCTCTCCCTCTCCTTCTCACGCTCTCGGTCGCGACGTTCCCTCTCACGCTCCCGCTCTTTTTCCCGTTCTCTGCGCTCACGCTCAAACTCCAGACGCTCTTTTTCGCGCTTGTCTTTTTCCTCCTCCAGTTTCTGCAGAACAAAGCACAGGTGGGCTTTAAACAGCGCCACATTGTGGTTCAGGAGGTACATTGCAAAAGTCAAGTGGTTTCCAGGTAATGTGGACACTAGAATCGCTCTTTCCAAGGATTATGAACCATATATCTAACTAATCTCACAAAACCCCAAGTAGAAACGTGTAATCTAAATGTAAAAGTGTGTGCAATTAGCAAATATTCAACTGGAAACCACCTGGTGAATCTGTGAGACATGTTATTAAAGAGAAAAATGTGTTGTGAGAGACACATTGCATTTTCTCAGCTCCTTTTAGTACAGAACAAAAACAGTCAAACACAGGCGTCAGTCTTTGTTGAACTGGTTGAGACTTACAGGTGTTGAACTATGGACTCAGGCCTTCGCTGCCCCTACAAGCCTTTTTAGTTAGGCCTGGGAGGAAAGCAGGTCACATGGTATACAAGGGAGAAACGTTATGGGAGTCCGACTTGCTCATGATACATCAACAGATCATTACAGTGCAAATCATTTTACAACCTCAAAAACATTGGATATACAGCTATAGCAACAGGAAATAAAACGTCATGTTATTTCTGCAAAAGTTATTAAAATGGGAAAACGGTCTTACCCATGCACCGGCTTCAGGAGATCCTCTGGACTCTCACACACACACACACACGGCTTATATACTGCAGCACATACACACGGCTCCAATCCAAAAGTAAATAGGCATTTAGTACATGGGCTGCAACATAAAAGCCTTGTAACAAGAGAGAAGGAGAAATTATGAGAATGAATGATGTATGCGTTTTGGGGGTGATATTTCTCAATCCGAAAATGTGATTGAGAATAGGACTGAACTTACTTTAACTTACTGCAGCGACTGTGACTTCTTACCTCTAACAAGCGCCTAAAGCCCCATTTCCAGCAGCTCTTCCCTGCTCAAACCTACCCATAACAAACAAGTATCTGGGGAAATTCCCTGGTAACCATGGCTTCTAGCAGCCAATCCCTGTTAGTTAGAACACCAGCTCAGCCTGGATAGAACCAGGGCTGAGAGGGACTAGAAGAGGACCTGTTACCTGAAAGAATCCCATTGGAGGAGAGCAGAGTGGAGTGGAGGGGCTGAATACCAAATGATCATCTAAAACAACTATATTAGAGCCATTAACGTAACTTTGTGACAGGTACAGTCTGCCTGTATTGGTAGAACTGAAGTTGGCTGGATGACACTGTGAACCTGTGTATGATCTCAAAGACTACTTTGTGTTAGCCACAGAAGGCCTTAGTTTTGACTTGACTGCCCTATAGCATTTCATACATCTCTATCAGAGAAATCAGCATCCCTTGAATGAGCCTTCACTCCAAACGTTTGAACCAGTTTTCCTTGTGCAGTTTGTCTTCGGTGGAAATGGAATGTGCTCCAGGGAAAGATGCCAAACAAAGATAAAGTGACCGTTTGGAGATGAGAGCCGCAGTGACAGGACAGAGCACAGCAGCAGAGAGGCCACTCACCTCAGAGGCTTCAGATCACAGACTGCTGTGAAGAGAGCGCCCCCCAACTATCAAACATAGCAACTGCAGCCAAGTCACTGCAGCGGTTAAACATTAGAGAAAAGGACATATCTTACAGAGGACTCACACAAGTTGGCCGTCGTCTTCAAATCATTCAAAGTGAAAATGTAAACGATTTCATTATTTTTTAAACAATAATAGATAATGAAATGGCAATATTAGGTCAGAGTAGGGCCGGGAATCAAAGAAAAATTACTGAACACAGACTTGATTTTTTCCTGATTATTAATAAACTCAAATAGTACCATTTTTGGTATTTGTATTGCAATTAAAAAAATCAACTTAGACCTTAAATAATCTGAAGCAGGTGTGAGATGCAGCCTAAAGCAAGGAATAATAAGATGCTTTAAAAGGTTGTGTGTCGCCATCTGCATGTGATCTTGTCAGACCTCTGAAGCTAAGCAGGACAGGGCCTGGTTAGTACTGTGATGGGGACCTCTGGGAACACTAGGTGCCACAGTGGGGCGGCTGTAAAGTGCACTCGCACCTAGGGCTGGGCAATAAATCAAATGTAGGCAATTAATCAGCTTTTGAAAAACAAATTTGTGAAAAATGTGAAAATCGTAACATCGATTGTCACATTGTTTACATTGTGTGAAATGTAAACAATGTTCTAGCATCACATGAATTATACTTGCAATATCAGCAGTTTGTACAAGAATTTTAAAAATGCATATTGGAGGAAACAAATTAAAAATAGTTTTGAAACTTGAATATTGAGAGGAAAGATCAAAAAATATTTCATGGGCAAAGTCTGTCTTCGGTGACTTTAAAGAAAATCCATTTAAAATCAAAATCGTCCAAAGCAGGGAAAAAATAAAATAAAAAACAAAAGTGAGATTTTAGTTTTTTGCCACAACGCCCAGAAACGTCACACATCTGTCTGAAATATAGCCATGCATTTATTTCCTTCTGACCTGATTAATAGAAAAACAACATAACAAAGCGAGTTAATTTTCCCAGCCCTACTACAACTAAAGATTTTGAAGCAATTGAAATGACACTGATCAGGTGCCCCTGTGCAAGTCCTCCAGAGGGGGGCGCCCCGAGAATGTAGAGAAAAAGTCTGATACTTACATCCTATCCTCGCAACTTTTTCCAAAGCTCTGAGATTCATCTTGCTTTAGTCACCATATGATCACTATCATAATGGTGGGGTTTAATGAATAGATTAGCTTTAAGTAACTTAACATTGTCTCCATGCATTTATGTGTGATGAATGCATCTACAAAAGCCACACTAGAATACTCTAATCTTAAGTTTAGTTTATTAAAAGTATCAATACTAGATAAAACATGTTTGTTACTAATAGTCTAAAGTTTACCAACTTGTTCTAATGATTCATAGGCTGGTAAGAGTTTGGCAAATAAATGATAGCTTGTGGTAAGTAAACACTAAAACATGAGCTATGTGAGGAGTTGCTTTCCAAAAAACCTGTAACAACCAATAATGTCAAAGGCCCATTTACCTTGTGTGTGTCACGAAATTTACTAATTTCTCTAGAAATTAGATCTCTCTTGTCTTCTTCCATATCGATCTGAGTAATGTCGTCCTGAAAAACAGAAAAAAAGTGAATCTACCATTTAATCTCAGTTTAAAAATCATTGAGACTTTTGAGTCACTTGCCCCATGCAATACAACGGTAATACTGGTATAATGAGAGGACTGTATGAAACTGAAATCCCACACTGGCCTTTGTGTATATGCACCGACTGGTAATGTTTTCCTTTGGTCTGAGCGCGTATCAAAACCGAAAAGAGAGGAGAGGAGACAAGGAGTAGAGAGGAGAGGAAGAGAGTGAGAAGAAGACAGTGGAGAGCGTCTATGGAGTAAAAAAATAATGATGTGTAAAGCGGATGTGTCCAAAAAAAGCAGGGAATAAAAAACAGGCTTTATTTTTATCATATCAATGAATGAGGAAAATTCACGACACTTTTAAGCTTTGGAAAAAAATATAGCCATTCAAATGCAATATGGAGTCACTGACTTTAGAGCAGGGATAGGAGGACACATCCGGGCAAACACATACCTCCTCTTTTTTGTCCTTTCTCCTTTTGCGTCGCTGATCTTCCTCGTCCAGCGACGGAGCATTGAGCTCGGCTGCGTACTCTCGCATGAGGCCGTCGATGGCACCTTTTGTTAATTGATCTTTGTGCTTTGTTTCCTCATCGATCTGCTCGTCGTCACCTCCAGAATCAGACTTCTCCTTCTAAAAAACATCAGAACATTTCAATTATTTGAAACGCATTTAACATTGTAGGCATAATGCCGTCATGTTTATTATTCTTCAGAATGATAGGACACTCGTAACACATGGTTCTGTACTGCAAAATGTGCCTCACAAGAGAAAGTAATAGAATACACATAATTCATTGTTTCTGAGTGGTCCCTTGTTGATGCAGGAGAGTCTAAGGACAGCAATGATCCGGGACATATTTGAACATTTAGCATTTCTGGACAAGAGCCATCCTGCTCCCAGTGGACCAATGGCTCCTAACTGTTATTGTTGCATTTACTGTGTTTTAACGGATTGATTCTCTGATCTGTTGTTAGTGGATCGACAACTTTGGAAAGTCTTCCAGGATGACTGCCGTTTTGTAAGTTTTACAAAAGATAAGTTTATTACATGGAAATCTTTCAGTTGGATTTGAGTCAGTCAATCTGAATCAGTGGATTTTGCTCAATCAACTCTCAAATCAAATATGAATTTCCTGGTTCATCTGCATGTCCTACACACCTACTACACCCTCTAGAATTTTTCCTTGAAAATAACTCACGGATGACTTTTCTACTCACCCCGTTCTTAATCTTCTTTTTTGACTTCCATTCATCGAGCTGAGCCTTTGTCTTTGCGTCCACTTTCACCAGCAGATTTTTGTCTCCAACTTCCAGATCATGCAACAGGCGGAGAGCTCTCAGTGTGGACTCTGGCTCTTTGTACTCACAAAAACCAAAGGCTGAAAAGGAGTGGATAAATCATAAGTTTTAGTTCAATAAAACACACACACAACTCCATTGCTTTTGGGTAAAACATTTAGTGCAGTGTCTCCCAAAGTGGGGTCCGCGGCCCCCTGGTGGGCCGCGAGGGTACTGCAGGGGGGCCGCGGGAGGTCATAAAAAAAATAATATAATTATTTAATGTTAAATTTATAATGTTTTGTTTGTAATATTAAAATATTTGTGTTCATTATTTGACTTGAATAATCCACTGTAATCATTTTTGTATTACAATGTTTGTAGCAGAGGCTATTTCCCCAAAATAAAATAACCAGAAGAGCCTATTCTTAATGTTGTCTTCTTGGTTATTAATTTGGGGGGCCACGCAGACCCGTCAGATTTTTAAGGGGGCCTCGGTGTTACTGAGTTTGGGAATGGCTGATTTAGTGAATATTACCTTGAAGTTTCCCAGAGGCACCCTGTACTCTCTTCCAGCTCAGAACAATGCCACATTTCTAAATAGAAGTAAGAATGAAGTAAATAAACATGTTTTTGTAAGTCCCCCCCTCAGTCTCTCCCATGTCTTACTGCAAGCAGCTGCCTGATCAGCATGTCTGAGGCCTTCTCAGAGATATTCCCCACAAACACGGTGGTGGTGGGGCCGCTGTCTTCATCTTTTGCTCTCATAGCTAGAATATCTTTCTTGGGCATGGGAGGTTTGCTGACCATGGGAATAGAGGACACCATCACCGGCGTGGGAGTCATGATGCCCATGTGAACAGGAATCATAGGAGTTCCTGTAATAAAAGCAGGTAGATGTAGACAAAACTTTATCCTTTAAAAAGTGAAGCATGAACTCACCTGCGGGGAAACCGGCATATTGAGGAGGCATGCCCGGTGGAGGGAGGAGCGGCCGGTTTAGATGAGGGGTGAACGACATGTTGGGTCTAACGCTGATTAAAAAAAAGCAAAAATCGTAAATTACTTTGAGAACAAAAATAAAAACATAACTTGCAGCCCCAACAACTAGGGGAATATCATTAGTTTTAGAGTTTGTTCAGGACACACATAAAAAGCAAGAGATTACAATAAATTCATATGACAGTCATTTTTCTCCACGGCCTACTTGGCATTCCCTCAAAGCACACTTATGTTTCTAGATTCAAAATAAATGAGTTAAGGTAATGGTTGTTTGCTTTTACAAATACGTAAGTAATAAAATGTATAACATAAAACAAAATAATAAACAATTAGGTTACAATTCTAATTCAAGTCTGATTGTAGACGAGCTAAGAAGGTCCGCAGTTTGGGTTTAATTGTAACTTAAGAGACGAGGAAGGTTGCCTAAAGTACATTAAACACAAATTGCTATTGACAGACATTAAAGATAATACCTGAAATGATATAACAAAGCACGCTACTGTCACCTGGCTCTAAACGCGGTTAGGCTACTGCTAGCTCAGACTGTTTCTGCTAACTCGCTAACCTACGAAAACAATTACAACGGCAGGTTCTGGTGACCGAAAGAAAGTAATGCGGGATGAAAGTGGCTTACCCAGTCCCGAGGTGTATTTAAGATGGATAAACACACAGTAAAAAATGAAAATACTCAAGCGTTTCACAATAGTCTCGGATGTTCGTGTAGCACTGATGCTAGTCACGGGCCTGCTAACACATGACGCAGGCGCAGTTCGGACAAATCCGAGGAGCGCTCGTTTTGCCTTCAAGTGCTTTCCGGACCTGCAGAGACTGTGCATTTGTTTTTGTTTTTTTCTTCTTCTTCTTCTTTGGTTGCTTAACTGTGGTTTCGAACTATTATAGCGTATTACCGCCACCCACCAAATCTGTGTATTTATTATTATTATTATTATGCTTATGTAATAATCATAATAACCATGACAAGAGAAAGGGGGGGCCGAACGCGCAGATTTGTGGCATTTCTTCTGTAAGTCTACCCAATATATACAGTCTATGGTCTACCCCAGGGCGGCTGTCCATGCTGTGTCTACAGTCAGAGTGTACGGAGCGAATGCATGTCAGGTGAAACGTCTTTGAGCGCCCATGATTGCGAGAAGAAAAGACAAACATTTGACCTTCACTGACTTTTAGCTATGTGGTCAGCCTCTTGCTCTCACCAAAGAAGCAAAGTATCTTACACACTTTCTTACAGACAACTGGTAGGACAGACGTCAGAAGACAGATCAGCATCTTTATAACATCTGAAAAATATTGCCAAAATCAAAAATGTAGTGTCTAAAGAAGATTCTTATCCATGCATTTGTCATATAGGTTATGCTTTTGTAAAAGCCTTCTCACTGGTCTCTCCAAAGTGTCCTGACTAGAAACAGGAAGTACGATCACAATTAGACCAGTTATCAGGTCTCTGCACTGGCTCGGAGATTATACTTTAAAGCAGATCTGCTTGTGTACAAGTTTCTCCATGGGCTCGCACCAAAGTACATCTGTGACATGTTATTGCCAAATGGTCAAACTCTGACTCTGATGAGCACAGGGACTGGCCTCCAGCTGGGACTCTGAGGAGCACAGGGACTGGCCGCCTATGTCAGAAGAGTCGATCATGACTAAACATGCAGCTATTATCTGGAACAGTCTTCCTGAAAATGTGAAACAGGCCTCTACTCTCAAATCCAGGTAAAAGCAGTTCTGTGCATACAACTGAGGGATGAAATTCGGACTCTTTTAATGCACAGTGATTATTAGTATATAGTTCGTTGCCTTGTGTGTAAACTGTGCTATACAGATACACTTGCCATGCCATGAATTTGAGTCTTAAATAAAGATAAATAATGATACACTTTACGTTAATAATTTAGAACAAGTAAATACGCCCAAAAGATAATGATCGAGTTAAGTTTACGTTGTCATGGTGTCTTCCGTGGTTGCTAGGCAGTGGCGCGGCATCTGCGCAGCCTGCATCTGACATGTGCGCGTGCACGAGGAGGAGGGAGCGCGGGTTTTCGATGGAAGGTGCTAGAACAAACACTTCACGACCTCCCAGCATCGAAGCCTCCCTCCGCCGTGTCAAAAAGAGCCCCTCTAAAAACGAATTTATTCAAAAGCAAATGCATTCTCTGAGGGGCAAAAGTCTCAGTGACTTGTGTAAACACGTATGTCTGCTCCTTGTTTACTGTTATCGTTGTATAGATGCCAGTACGTGTTAACAGTTGCATTTAGTTGTCTTTAATTGAGCTATACAATAAATGTAACTAAGAATAGTGATTTTACGACTCTAAAAGTCTGAATTATGGTGATTCGTCTTCTTATTCTTTGTCTTGCTTCTATTCAATGGAAAGGTGCTCCGGGCGGACATACTGAAGATCCAGGCATTTTGTTCGGAGGCAGTTCTCACTTGCTCTTTTGACTGTTACCACTAAATAATACAATAAATGGGTAGCAAGAGACAATTAGAAACAAATATACGAAGCAACGTTAGGAAAGCAATCTTCAAGAGCGGTGTGTGGTAGATTATTTCTTACAGGCAGCGAGAGGTTAGGAATTTAATATTGATGACACTTCAAGTAAGGGGAAGGAATTCGCGATTTTAAAGTATTAAATCCATAACAATTACAATAAGCACTGTCAATGACTCATAGTCCTTTCGTAATCATCATTCTAATTCTGATTTGTTGACTGAGTTGGTTGTATTTGTTGTCTAGATCAGGGGGAACGAAATGCCTAGCTTTTCGCGGAGTGATATGCCTCCCCACCGAAAACCATGTGTATAAAGATTCCGGTCTATTTAACGGAAGTCCCTTTCATTTTCCCTGCGTCAGAGAGCAGAGGGATAAAGCTTTGGTCCCAATTTATCAGCGAAAAATCAACAAAAAAACAAACAAGGTATGTCCATTTTGATTCACTGTTGTTGTAATGGGTAGCAGGCAGTGTTGCGGATGTTATAGGTTCACTTGATCGCATTAATGAGCCTTTTTTGGGTCGTTTCGATGTGATATCAGACATGGTACCCTCCCTGAACCTGTTTTAGTAAAATCCTTACAATTCGCACCCAGCAAGATTTATAACCTCTTCATTAATTAGGAACGCGATTGTCAGTAGCAGTGTGGAAGAAGGCATCAATTTGTTTAGTGACTTTTCATGTACCCCTCTTTTTATGGGGCCACCGCCTTGAGTTTAAATGCAACTCAAAGATAAACTACTAGAAATGGGTAGATTAACATTTATACTGCGCTCGATAATCGTATAAGAGTTTTCTTAGTGTACACAAGTGCAACGCGGATCCTGACCGTATTCTTGGATGTCTGGCACATTACGCAACCTCGTGATTCTGCTAACCTTCACCAACATGAGGCTTGATAAAATGGTAGTTTGATAATTGTTAGCGTCTTCACTGCACATAATGACATCTATAAAGCCAATTCAGTCTGGTTTGTCCGGCTTTTTAGTGTCGCAATCGCATATTTTTGGACAAATTTCGATTCTGGAAGCACGTGCAGCGGCCTCCATTGTCTGCTTACTCACGCCATGTTGGAGTGGGTCTACTTCCGCCTATCACTGCTGAACCGGTTTACTGGCGCATTTATTTCACTTTCGATATGTGTAATGTGATACACGTGGTGAAGAAAGGCTATGCTTTTCAATGCATGTGTTTAGCCCTGAAGACTGCAGTCGTTTCGCAGGACTAAAAGTTGTCAATTCGCCAGAATCCTACAATTAGAACGCAGCAAATAAAATGATAACACATGGGAACTATATCGCCATAGAGAGCGGGATGACTGTAAAAACCCTAACCCGCATCGCCACTCTTTAGACCCTCCCCTATCGGCATCACTACAAATGCGTCAGAATACAACGGCAATTTGTTTGGTCACCATTCAGACTTGTAGACCACTTTACAGTGAAATCTTTAATTTATTGTTTTGTCCCTCGTTGACAGATGCCTGCTGACGAAGGAATGGAGGCTGAGACCTTTGCCTTCCAGGCTGAGATCGCTCAGCTTATGTCCCTCATTATTAACACCTTTTATTCGAACAAGGAAATCTTCCTCAGAGAGCTCATCTCCAACGCCTCTGACGTAAGTTGATGTTTTTATGTTTGTATGTAATCAAGAAGTAGAATGACATGATGAGTAACAGACTTTTACAGCATCACATCTGTACATTTCATCCAAACTTCTCATTCACATCATATTAAATCACTAAACACACTTTATTTTTGTTAAATCATAAAATTAATATGTATTCTATGCATAACAATTTTATAACTTCAGACTAAAAAATATTCTATGGTTTTTTTCTTTCAGTTATTTGCTATTTATAATTTTTCCTTGTTCAGACCAACTTATGAATGCTAGAATGTTGACTTTTTCATTTGATAATTTTCAAAGAGACTGATAAAACTTTTTGGCTTTTTTTCCTCTCAGGCTTTAGACAAAATCCGTTATGAAAGTTTAACGGATCCAGCAAAGTTGGACTCTGGGAAAGATCTGAAAATTGAAATCATTCCTGACAAAGAAGAGAAGACTCTAACTATCATCGACACTGGAATTGGAATGACCAAAGCTGACCTCATCAACAACTTGGGAACCATCGCAAAGTCTGGCACCAAGGCCTTCATGGAGGCTCTGCAGGTACGGGACTGTCCGTGTGTCTGAGGGTTTGTAAATTCTGTGGTCTAAGAGTGCATTCTTTTCTCAGGCTGGGGCAGACATCTCTATGATCGGACAGTTTGGCGTGGGCTTCTACTCTGCTTACCTTGTGGCTGAGAAGGTGTCTGTCACTTCCAAACACAATGACGACGAAGCATACCTGTGGTGTTCCTCAGCTGGAGGCTCCTTCACCATCCAACCTAGTATGTTTCCTGCAAAGACTTTGATTGTTCTGGCAAGGTTAAAAGTTTTACAAAAAAGTAATTAAACTTCTTCTAGTTTCGTCCGACTCTATTGAGCGTGGAACAAAGATCGTTCTGCATCTGAAGGAAGATCAGATGGAGTACATCGAAGAGAAGCGAGTCAAGGAGATTGTGAAGAAGCACTCTCAGTTCATCGGTTACCCCATCACCCTCTACGTAAGTGGAGGTTTTAGGATGTCAGACAATTACCATAAAACTACTGGGCATTTCTCTGGTCAACTCTAGCTAGAAAAGGCAGATTTTGCCATGAACTTGATTAGTAGACTAAAACACTAGGGCTGAACTAGAATACATTTGGCATAAAATCACGTTAAAGATATTTCAATTAACATTCAAGCTAGACACTTCAACTTATGTCAATGTTTTTTAATCAAGTATCTCTTGAACTAGCTTAGCTTTAGAGGTGGGCTCTTGCCTTGGATTTAATTTCTCAAACTTCAGAATGTGGCTTTTTTATTTATTTATTTTAACTTAAATGCACCAACATTTGGCTTTGTCAACTTATGGGTTTAATTGATGGCAGTCCTAGCTCAACTATTTTTCAAAACTTACCATTTGTAAATCTCTGTAGAAAATTTATTTCAAATTTGGACCTGGTTAAGTACAGAACTGAAAGATGCCTTGTATGTTTCCTGGGACACTGGAAAAGTTTGCTTCCCAAAGTGAAGGGTACTCTCTGGATAATTGAAAAGCGAAAACGTAATCTCTTGTGAAATATTTATTTTATTAACATGTTTGGGGTTTTGTCTCTATAGGTGCAGAAGGAGCGCGAAAAGGAAGTGAGTGATGACGAGGCAGAGGATGAGAAGGAGGGAGAAGAGAAGGAGGAAGGTGAAGGAGAGGAAGGAGATGCACCAAAGATTGAGGATGTGGCTGATGAAGAGTCCGGTGACAAGAAGAAGAAAAAGAAGATCAAGGAGCGTTACACTGACCAGGAAGAGCTGAACAAGACCAAACCCATCTGGACCCGCAACCCTGACGACATCACCAACGAGGAGTACGGAGAGTTCTACAAGAGCCTCACAAACGACTGGGAGGACCACCTCGCAGTCAAGGTGAATGGGCAGAAAACTATTCATTGTGTTTAGCCCTTAACCCTCTGGGGTCTAGAGCATCGGATCTGATGCCTGCTCACATGTTTTTTTATAAATGTTAAATTTTCTCATGAACGGCAAAACGTAGCGACTTTTTTTTTTTCTCCGTGAAGTACACATTTCAGGCATTACAGCGCTAGTTTTGTTTTGTCTGACTTTTGGGGGATTTTCTACGCGTGTTTGAAAGATCTTCGAGCGATCTACGAGTGATGTGTGTGTTCAGAGTCTGGGCTTGAAAGTGCATTACACAAAGATAGGAGGAGACGCAGATGCAGCGCTCACAAGAGCCAGCACCGGGCTGAAGAGTGCTCATTATTGATGTAATTATATTATATATTATTGACATAGATAAATACATTATAATGATATGATGTATATGAATATAAGATGTTGTTTTTCTTTCTTTGTTTTCTTAGTTTTTTTGTTTTACATATCTTACAGCTGTGATACTGAAGCAATATAGACATAGACAAACTGCTTCAGGAAGGGCATCAGGAGTACAATGTTTTTTTCACTTGTAGTGGAATTTTTTAAATTATAATAGTCACAGGTTCATTTTTTTTTTCCCCCATCAACCCCAAGACCCTAAATAACATTTCTATACAGTGTAAAAAGTTAGCAATAGCATTTCATTGTGTTTTTCAAAACATTTTGGTGAAATTGAATTTCCGTTTCATTTTCTTTGTCTTCATGATTCCATATTTTTTATATAATATGACAGCTGTACACTATGAATATTATAAATCCACAGGTTGTACTGAAAAAAGAAGTTTACTGCTTGACTCTGAATCACAAGACTGTTTTATGAGCAATTATACACAAAGAAAACCAGGCGAGGAAAGTTCCCCAAAATGAGCTTAGACCTTGAAGGGTTAAATACAAACTGCAGTTGTCTCAGGACTTAATTGCATTTCCTGTGTTTGAACCGTTTGGCAACTTCATAACAAAGGAGTCGTTGGCCCATAGGAGCGTGAAGACCACTGTTTTAAGTTTAAACACTTAAGTTGTGTAATTTTGAATTGAAAATGGGGTGATTGTAGCGCAGTTGGTAAAGCATGTGTCCTGAGCTGGTGGTTTTGTTAGATGCCTGCACATTGTTGGTCAAATCAACTAATCTGCTGGTGTGTGTCCTTGGGCAAGACCCTTGAGCGTTAAAAGTAGAAATGGTGCTGTGTATATTTGATTTGACTACAGTATACGTAGATTATTGCACGCAGAGCAATACATACAATGAAAGACTTCACTGTTTGAGATTAGGCAGAGGAAAAATGTACTTCTCGCTGACCCATCCCTGCATCACATGGGCGCATTGAAAACTATTTCTGATTTGATCATTGTTGTGCTGACACTCCTTCTGTCTCTTTCAGCACTTCTCTGTGGAGGGCCAGCTGGAGTTCCGTGCCCTTCTCTTCATCCCCCGCCGTGCCCCGTTCGACCTGTTTGAAAACAAGAAAAAGAAGAATAACATTAAGCTTTACGTGCGCAGAGTTTTCATCATGGACAACTGCGAGGAGCTCATCCCAGAGTACCTCAGTGAGTGACGACACATTACAGTATTGTACAGGGACCATGACAGCTGCGTAACTGCCTTTTACCTCCTTAGACTTTGTGCGCGGTGTGGTGGACTCTGAAGATCTGCCCCTGAACATCTCCCGAGAAATGCTGCAGCAGAGTAAAATCCTGAAGGTCATCCGCAAGAACATCGTGAAGAAGTGTCTGGAGCTGTTTGGCGAGCTCTGTGAGGACAAGGACAACTACGGAAAATTCTACGAAGCCTTCTCCAAGAACATCAAGGTATGACAGTTGTTAGAAATTCACTCTTATAGTACAGCTTTTTTTGAACAAAATATTCAGTTTACATTTTGTATACTTCTATGACTAAACAAAAAGGACAGGCAAGATTAACACAGAACACTCCCATCATACACTGTAAAGAGTACCATATAGAACAAAGTTGAATGAGTTAATTGAGCAGAAAAGACATCTGGGAAATTAAACTTGTAATTCCTTTCTGTAACTGTAAAAAATCTAAATTTCCCTTTTGGCCAAATCTATTAACAGTTTATGTTGCAACATTGCCCATTAACAAACAGACCTAGAGTAGCTTTTAAATCTGTCCACACTTAATATTTTTTAGCACAAATGCTGCTTTTAAAAGCTCTCAGAAAATGGTATGGTGGAATGGAATAATTCAGGGGTGTCCAAACCGGTCCAGAAAGGGCCGCTGTGGCTGCTGGTTTTCTCAGACCCAACAGGAGCAGAGTAGACTCAACCAATTTCCTCAGGAGAGTTCAGTCTCAACATGAGAATTTGAGGAAATGGGTTGAGTCTGCTTTGCTCCTGTTGGGTCTGATAGGGGCGACAGTAGCTCAGTTGGTAGAGCACTGGCCTTCAGGCCTGAAGGTTGTGGGTTCAATTCCCACCGACTCCCACTGATGACTGCTGTCGTTGTGTCCTTTGGCAAGACACTTAACCCCACTTTGCCCAAAGCCCCTACTGAAAGATCAAGGCTATGCTCACACTCAGAGAGCAGCCGTCCTCCTGTGGACTCACCACCTGCAGAGGGTCAGGGAGGGGCTGGTGCTATGAGACTTGGGTGGCATCTCTGACTGCCACCCCCCTGACCCAGAAATGGATTAAAGGGTAGAAAATGGATGGATGGAAGGGTCTGATAGAAAACAGCAGCCCTTTCTGGACAGGTTTGGACACCCCTGGAATAATTTATGGGCAAATAATTTCAGTCTAAAAGTATGGTCTTAACAATCACATGTGGCAATTTCTCAGAACTGTTTGCGGCAGGGACTTTCTTTTTTCAAAACCCTTAAGTGGTAGCATAGTTAAATCTGGAGAGCATTCCTTTTCACCATATACGTTAAACGTGACCTGACCGTCTGAACTCTATATGGTCATTTTGTAGCGGCCAATAATGATCCGAACTGTGTCCTCTTTAAAGCTGGGCATCCATGAGGACTCTCAGAACCGCAAGAAGCTGTCGGAGCTGCTGCGTTACCACAGCTCTCAGTCTGGAGACGAGATGACCTCTCTCAACGAGTACCTCACCCGCATGAAGGAGAACCAGAACTCAATCTACTACATCACAGGTCAGACGAGGCCCGGAGTCAACTTATTATTCATGGTTGCTGTGGCGCTCGTTGAGGCTCCTTGTACATTCAGATTTGTCAATGTCAACTTCATTTGTATGAACCACTTTTCCAACATGCTTCACATGCACACTCAGAGTGACATGAACAGTTTAGTTTTGCATGAAACTTTCTTAAAGGGTACATTACTATAGCAGTTTCCTCCTACTCTACCTGAATTTCCACCGCCCCTTAAATTAAAACTGGCCTATTCACAAAGCACTCACTAAGACTTATGCTTAGGTACTAAAGAACTGGCTCAAGTCTGAGGATGTTTTATTTATTTTTTTTAACCTAGTCTTTCATGCATTCTTCAGGCGAGAGCAAAGACCAGGTGGCAAACTCTTCCTTCGTGGAGCGTGTGCGCAAACGCGGCTTCGAGGTCCTGTACATGACGGAGCCCATCGACGAGTACTGCATCCAGCAGCTCAAGGAGTTCGACGGCAAGAACCTTGTGTCGGTCACCAAAGAGGGTCTGGAGCTGCCGGAGAACGAGGAGGAGAAAAAGAAGATGGAGGAGGACAAGGCCAAGTTTGAGAACCTCTGCAAACTCATGAAAGAAATCCTCGACAAAAAAGTAGAGAAGGTGAGGATTAAGTGCTTTTGAAAAGGGCAGTACGATTAATCTGCAGCAGACATTACATTTTTGTACAACTACATTTTACGAGAATTTACCATAAAGGTAACAAGAACTCCACTACAGGCTTAGTAATACATATGTCAAATATTTTAAATAAGGTGACATTTAGTGTTTTTGATGGCTAACCTGCTGCTTTGGAATTTGAATTAAAAAAAATACCAACCTAAATCTTCATGCGTGTATACAATGTTAAAAACACTCTCCTGCAGCAGTGGAAAAACTAGTTCTGACCTCGTTGATCTGACTACAAACAGAACTGCTCGTGTATGAAAGGGCTAAGCTTTGTTACAATAATCTAACCTAAACTCTGTCGGTGATCTAATTAAGTACTTGAGGTTCTGCTTAAACGGCAGATTGAATGCTATCATACACGTCACATCACAAATGTAATTAAACACTGTGTGATTGACAGGGCTGGGGTAATGTGTTCTGGTGAGTTCAGTGATTTTGAGTTGTTAAATGGATGTGCACGAACAAGTGACGGCAGTTTTGGATTGCTGAGTGGTTGACTCTCGTGGTTCTTTTGGAGCAAGAAGGTCCTAGGCTTTCTACGTAATTTGCATGTTCTCAAAGTGTCTGCATAAGAGTGGTCTAGATCCCCTACCGCTACAAACATGTGTTCAATAGTTCAGGATGAGTGAGTAATGCTTTTTATTAGCCTAAAACAATCTGGAGAGATGTGTTCACTAACCTGCACTGTGCCAACAAATACTAATTAAGTAGTTTCTAACAATTGTTTAACTTTGCTACAGTTCTGATTTGTTACTTGCAATGTGAAGTATAAACGTTTACTCATTGTGTGGTTTGGACAAATAGTCTTTGGAAACTAGTTTTAATAATGCATTATAGGATTATTTTTAAATCTTCTGCCCTCCTCTCTCAGGTCACCGTATCAAACCGGCTGGTGTCGTCTCCCTGCTGCATCGTCACGTCCACCTACGGCTGGACGGCCAACATGGAGCGCATCATGAAGGCTCAGGCCCTGCGTGACAACTCCACCATGGGCTACATGATGGCCAAGAAGCACCTGGAGATCAACCCGGACCACCCCATCATGGAGAATCTGCGGCTGAAGGCAGATGCTGACAAGAACGACAAAGCGGTGAAGGACCTGGTTATCCTGCTCTTCGAGACCGCACTGCTCTCCTCTGGCTTCTCCCTGGACGACCCCCAGACCCACTCCAACCGCATCTACCGCATGATCAAACTTGGACTGGGTAAGAACTTAAAGTTTCAAACTGGTTCCAGAAGGGTTTCATTCAGGCCAAGCAGCACGCCAGACTCCAACAATTTATGCAATTCCTCAGGCTAAGACCGGACTCTTGTGTGATTGGAAAAGAGTGGAATCTGGTGTGCTCCTTGATTTGATTGAAGAGAGAGAATTCTTCAATATTATACATTTTGACTTTGGAAAACTCCATTGTCAGTATCATAGCTATTTGATTAGCATAGATATAAAATAAGTGGGAGACAAGGATTTTATGAGCCTTGAATGAGATCAGAAATGCAGCAAACTTGTAATATGTTAAAAAAAAAAATTCTACATTTTAGACTTTGGATGAATCCCTGCAAGCGTTAATTTTTTCAAAAGCAGACGAATTTTGAGACCCTACTGAAGTGAAAGTCCAATATATAAAGCTTTCTGTACATGGCCATATAATTCTGATTCTGAAATGAACAATCTATACTCCGCTCTCAGCCCAAAGGGTCAAATGTTGGTATAAATGATCTTGTTTTAACGCAAGGATTTCTAGGCAAAAGTTTTGATTAGTTCATGTGGAAAAGTAATATAACCCATCTTGGAACTAGATGGGTTAAGCAAAGTAATTAATCTAGTTTCAGTTGATCCTTTGAAATGAAAGCCCTTAAGTTTGGTAGTGATGACTGTTCAGATTCTCCACTCTTCGCTTATATTGCTCTTTTTGTGCTGCAGGTATCGACGATGACGACATGCCCACAGAAGAAGCTCCCTCCGCTGCTGTCCCTGACGAGATCCCACCACTGGAGGGTGACCTGGAGGAGGACGCTTCCCGCATGGAGGAAGTCGACTAAACTCAGAGACTTTACTGTTCTACTCATCATTCTACATAAGTCATTCCCTTTTGTGATGGACCAATATTTGGAGCGTTCTCTGGACCATGCTCACCGTTTGGCTGTAAAGTTAATTTGTTTAACCCTGCTGTTGCACTGAGTTTATGCGGAGGTGGAGGAGGGAGAGGAGGTGGTACATTCCAGGTGAGAGGGCAGTGTGTTCATGTGCACCGCCGCCCGCTGCATGAGAGGACGGAGTCATTTGCCTGAGCCCAGGCACTGTCTGTATCAAGTCTTTTTGTTTTGCAGAAAATTAAAAGATCTTATACCCTTAACACTGACTTCTTTTTACTCTTCATGACCAGAAATGACTAATTTAATTGTGAGATTAGATTACAGCATTTTTACTCATTGAATGGACAATAGTTTAGAAACGTCCAGGTGAATGGTGACAATTTGTCAAATGAAGTCTGCTGGAAGCTGGTTACCTGGTTAAGCATTTAAGGGATAGTTTGGGTAGGATATGGTTCAGATACTAACGTAATATAAACTCACCAAAAATTGATTGCTGCACTCAAAATACTCAGACTTCAACAAAAATTGTTTACTTCATATTACTGTGTGAAGGTACTATATTGACATTTAAGACTCTAACTTGCTTCAGAATGTACTTTTGTAAGTGGCTGAAACATGTGGCCTGAGTTCCTAAATCTGAGAAGCATCAGGCTGTTGGCACAGATACGGAAGCAGATTTTAACCCACATGTATTAGGAATCTGCACCACTGTCCATTAGCCCTGCCAACTCCGTCCTGACCACATCACTTGCTATAGTTAAAACTACATCTTCATGTATTCAAAACCATAGTGTAATTTGATTTTATTGCCCCTAATTTTAAGCAGAAAATTAGGTTCATATCAAATGTGAAATCCATTTGGTTATATTGGTTACATTGGTGGTAGGGTAAAACTTTGACCGAAATAGATTTATTGCAGAGGGAGAGGCCTTTGTTGGCCTTCAGAAAACCAACTGTTTACTGGAATTATAATTAAAGGTCTGATGCAGTTTGTCTTGGGCCTGTGACTTTGCAAATAGAATGGCGACAGGGGTCATTTGTTTGCTGCTCTGCCCTAATTTTCATACAGGTATTTTTTTATTTTTATACAAATGACCCTAACTAGTCGGTTTTTTTCTGCAGGTACCTTCAAAACATTCTAAATTGTTAGTTTCTGTGTTGACGATATCATGAAGCCTTGCTCTAATAAAATCAACTTCATTGTAGTTACATGTTGTAACCTTGAAATGGGACACTGGAAACCCTAACACCATAAGGGTCAAAACACTACTGTATCCGGTCACAGCTGTTTATACAAGACCATCCATTTTCTACCTCAATCCATTTCTGGGTCTGCAGCTTTAAGTATCACTTCAGCTCGTTAAAGTCAGTGATTTGAACAGACTAAGTTGTTCCCCAGATTTAAAAGACTTTTCAGGCTGTTCTGAGCTTTAAAATGAGCTATGACTTGGCTAAAGTTGGTTTAGTGACGCTGTGAACTTGTGTTTATGATCTCAGAATAATTTGTTAGCGACAGAGGCCGCTGTTTGGACCTGACTGGTGTAAAAGAATTCCTTATGATTTCAATTACATTCACAAAGTTACTCTTCTTTGTAAACAGAGCACTTTGCTCCAAATTTAAACTAGTTAAAAAATGTAAATATGCAATTTAAGTTTTCAAATGTCGAGACAAGTAGGAGTGGTCAGCCTGATTGACAGCTCGCTCAGACTGACCTCGCCCTTTTCTCTGGATTTTTATAACACCCATTACCACCAACAATGGTAACTAATGACACATTTACTGTCACTATAACTCTGAAATCACTATCTTTGTTAGTGAAACATGCAAACTGTTTTAATAAAGGTTTTATTAGAACTCCGAAAAAACAATGAACACATTTCCTCCCATTTGAAATCGCTTTCTCCCAAACATTCACTTGTGACAAGTTATAAAAGTCTTTGTTAAAGTTATATAAGGATTTAGTAAAACATTTAGTAAACAAATATGAGAAATCAACATGGCGCTTTTAAAAACTATCAGTACATATTTTTTTAAGTGCAGTATTTTGAATAAAAGTCATAAAAAAGTAACTGTTCCCAAACTATAATTTAGTGAGATACACCAACATAAATATTACTGTTACAAGAATAGCATAAAAAACAATCAAACGTGACCTGTGTAAACCGGGGGAGTCAAACCGGTCCCGTGTGACTGCAGGTTTTCATTCCAATCAAGCAGGAGCAGAGCACACTCCACCCATGCTTGGTTGGAATGAAAATCTGCAGCCACTTCGTCCCTTTGAAGACCGCTTTGACAGCCCTGGTGTGAGCAATAACATCTGAAACTGATGAAGTTGAAAAGATGTTGCAGCTGAAGGTCCTCACATTAGTCTGCCAGGTTTGATTATGAACAAGAACAATTGAATGCGTCGACTGAGCTCAAAGTAAAAGGGACAGTATGTCATATGTTAAAGACAAATGTAAGAACAATGTCATTAAACTTCAGAAGACGACAAAAACTGTTGAAACATGTTACAGTAATAACAACGCTGTCTAATGGATTACAATTATCCTGTAGTTGCCAGAATCTTCCTCTGGTGTCAAATGTAGCTCCTTACCACCAGAAAAAGGCCAGAAACAATGTTGCTCAGTATGATTATGACTTATATCTGTATCGGCTTTCATTTAAAACATGTGTGGTGCTGTATTATTGTTTGTCAACTTTGTTATTAAAGCTACGAACCAAAAACCAGCTACATTCCTCCCAACACACACGCATCCCAAATGAGCCTCATTCTGCTCTCTGATTGGATAATATCAAGGGCTTGTTCAGGAGGTCAGATATGATTTGTACTTGTGATCTAAGGACACATAAAAAACCATTATGTTACATAATGAATGTTACATACTGTCCCCTTAAACCGGGGGTATTCAACTCTGTCCATAAAGGGCTGAGTGGCTACTGGTTTTCATTCCAACCAAGCAGGAGCAAATCAGACTGCAGCCATTTCCTCCAGTGAGTCCAGTCTAAACCTGGAGACTTGAGAGTCAAATATCCCTGGTTGAAACTCTCTCAGAACTCATGTAGAAACAAATTTGAGAATGAATAACTAAATGTTAAAACTGACGTAAGCGGAAAAGTTAATAAGTGCTTGAAGTCAGTAGAAGTCTGTTTTGTTTTTACAGTCAAATGCAGATACTCATTATTTCAAGCAATTATAAACTTTTAAGACATAAAAAGTCTGAAGTGTTTGACTGTCAGGCACTCAGAACTCCTCCTTAGCAAAGCGAATCTCTCGCTCTTGAGAAATCCCTTCAAATCGCATCGTGTTTATGTATTTATACGTCGGGTTTTCGCTGTTAGACCTTCTGCGCGGCGGGCTGGGCAGCTCTGCGTCCGGCCTTCATCCGGTTGCGCGCGTACACTCTCAGGAACAGCGCGAGGAACACGACGCAGACGCCAAAACCCCCGATCGGCGTGAGCGCGTGGCCGTACAGGAAGCAGGACAGTAGGATGGCGATGGCCTGGCGCAGGGTCATGATGATGGTGAAGACCGCTGCGCCGAACTGCCCGATGGTGTAGAAGATGAAGAGCTGCCCGCACGCCGAGCACACTGACAGCAGCACGGCGTGGAAGGCAAACTCCGAGTGCCGCCCCATGAACGCCAGCGACTGGAAGAAGGCGCCCTGTTCCAGCAGCGATCCCACGGTGAAGAGGCACGAGAACAGGTTCACTCCAAACATCATTTGCACCGACGACATCTTGTATTTGAACAGGTTGTCCTGCGCGGGAGGAGGGGGGGTTATTAACGTTACCATAGACTGTATACAGATGGACAATGCTAACCCGCTAGCTCATTAACGCCCAATAGGAAAGTGCTCAGAGACAAAGTCTAGCTGCAACTCGCTGTGGCTCCTATTCGCTCACATGTAAAAGTGAACTTCTCTAGAACTCTAACTATTAGGGCCATATAAGGATCGACCAATGGGATGGCTGCAGCTTGCCTTAGCAACCGTCTTAGCAACACATCTGCTCCTGTTATGGCACGAAGCAGATGTGGATAGAAAGACTCCAGCTAGCTTATGTTCAAATCAGCCTCTACTGATATTAAAGCTAACACTATGGTGATGTCACACTTAGTCAGTCCATTCCTATTACACAGACCATGGAGTGGTCTGACCGAGTGTGACATCACCATAGCATTAGTGTTTGTTGAACATAAGCCAAGTTGAGCCAGGTTCTTATATGGGAATTTGCCTCGCACCGTAACAGGGTCAGATGTTAAGACGCTTGCTTAAGGCAAGACCTTCACTTCTGATTGGTCAATCCTCATTTATATTATAACATATAACACATATTAAGAGTCACTGCCCACCTGCCAGTTGGAGGTGAAGCTGTCGAAGACGATGTATCCTCCCAGGATGACGACTCCGCTGAAGGTGGTGACGGTGGACGGGTGTTTGTTGGTGGAGCTGGAGAGCAGGAACATGCTGACGCCCAGAGAGATCAGCATGGCCGTGAGGTACTCCCAGTACTCATAGCTCTTCTTGGACACCAGCTTACCCATGAGCATGACGGGGATGACCTTGGAGGCCTTGGCCAGCACCTGCGTGGGGAAGCTGATGAACTTGAGCGCCTCATACTGGCACCAGCTGCTCATGATGTTGGAGAGCGACGCAAAAGAGTACTTGTACATGGGCGCGCCGTGTCGCGGCTGCTTGAGCAGTGCGCACCACAAACCTGACACCGTCAGCGCCAAGATGCGGTTCATGAACACCAAGAATTGAGAGTCCTGGAAGCGCTCCCCTGGCTCTTCTGGGGACAGGGCGCCGTATGAGCGAGTCATGACGCGCTCCTGCAGCACGCCCCAGGTCAGGTACGACGCCTGCGGGACACACACAGCATTAGTACTGTTCTGGAGTAACAGGGCTGAACCTTAGCTAAACACAAGCTCAAAATGAATCACAAAATGATCCATCAGTGTTTCCTGCAGCAGTCTGCAGCACAGGAAGAGCTGAAGAATGGATGGATTTGTTTTGTGAAATCTCAGTTGTTATTATTAAACATTAGTTCTCAGTTTGGGAATATAGTGATTCATGTTTTTGTGAATAGTCATACATTTCAGCATTCCATTTCAAAATAACATTTTAAAGTTTATCTTGCAGAGGCTGCAAGAACACAGTATGGGAGAGTTTCAAAAGTTTCATGGGAGCTGGTGTACGAGATGGTCCGGCCGCATGATGACCGGACAGAACATCAGGACCTCATACAGCTGCACTTTAAAGCTGCACTAACTGACTTTGGGATTTTGAAGCCGCAGACCCGCTGGCCTCTCTCTTTCTGCTCCCCTCCCCGCACCCACGAAGCTATCGCCCCCCACACACACCCACTGTTGGGACGGAGTTAGTGTCTCCCAATATGGATAATACATGGATATGGATTTGCACGTGGATGGCGTGACCATAGAACAATAGAACAGGGAAGCGCGGAGGAACGAGACTTTCTTTTGGATGGCTGTCTCGCTGTGTAAGCAGTAACCGGTGACGAAGACGAGGAAACTTCAGGTTAGCTCCTCGGCTTGTTGTGCTAACTCAGCCGTCTATGCTAACGGACCTGTAGATTTCTCACGAAAGTGGGGGCTAGTGGTTCGCTGTGATTGGTCACAATCTGAGACCCGAAACACATTCAATCAATCAATCAATCAAAGTTTATTTGTAGAGCGCCTTTCATACACATGGCAACACAAAGCGCTTCACAGTCCACATCACAAATCATCACATAAAACAAACACCAGAATCACAATTAAAACATTAAAATCACACAAAAGATTAAAACACAATTAAAACATTAAAATCACACAAAAGAATAAAACCATTAAAACTTTCAAAATTACACAAGAAATTTAAAAAAATAAATAAATGACAGCAGTGCATTAAAAATGGAGATAAAATCCTTCAGTTGTATGCACAGGCAAACAGAACAGTCTTTAACCTGGATTTGAACATTGACAGAGTAGACGCCTCCCTCACATTTTCAGGGAGATTGTTCCAGATCTTAGCTGCATGGATCTGAAACGCAGCCTCCCCATGTTTGGTTCTCACTCTGGGCACCAGCAGGAGGCCAGTCCCTGTGCTCCTCAGAGTCCGGGCCGGTTCATATGACACCAACATGTCACTAATGTATTCTGGTGCAAGGCCATGGAGAGACTTGTACACAAGCAGAGCCGTTTTAAAATCTATTCTTTGAGCCACAGGAAGCCAGTGCAGAGACCTGAGGACCGGACTAATATGGTCATACTTCCTGGTTCCTGTCAGGACTCTAGCTGCTGCATTTTTGGATGTACTGCAGCTGCTTACAGGTCTGTTTGGACAGACCTGTAAGCAGGCCATTGCAGTAGTCTAGCCTGCTGGAGACAAATGCATGGACAAGAATCTCCAAGTCTGCCCTGGACACTATATTTCTAACTTTGGCAATGTTCTTCAGATGGTAAAAAGCTGTTGATGTTATTGATTTTATGTGGCTATTGAAATTTAGGTCTGAGTCCAGTATTTACCCCCAAATTTCTGACCTTGTCTGAAGGAAGTAGGGAGAGAGACTGAAGTTGACAAATGACGCCCTCTCTTTGTTTCTGGGGACCAAAGACAATGATTTCGGTTTTGTCTGTATTTAGCTGGAGGAAATTATTTTGCATCCAGTCACTGATCTGTTGGATACAGTGAAGGAGCAAATCCAGTGGTCCATGTTCTCCTGCAGTCAGTGAGACATAGATCTGAGTGTCGTCAGCGTAATTGTGGTAGGACACTTTGTTTCTTTGTATTAACTGACCTAACGGCAGCATGTAGAGATTAAATAGGAGAGGTCCCAGGATCGACCCCTGTGGTACACCACAGGTCAGGGCCACATCATCTGAGACGCAGTCTCCAATCTCCACAGAGTACTTCCTATCCTCCAGGTAAGACCTAAACCAGTCTAGGGCTGTGCCAGTGACACCAGCCCAGTCCTCCAGTCTCTGCATGAGGATCTCATGGTCGACAGTGTCGAACGCGGCACTAAGATCTAACATGACCAAAACTGTGACTTTACCTGCATCAGTGTGAAGTCGAATGTCGTTTGTTACCTTCACTAGAGCGGTCTCAGTGCTGTGGTGGGGTCTAAACCCAGACTGGAACATATCAAAAGAATTATTCATTGTTAAAAATTCAGTAAGTTGTTGGGAGGCCACTTTTTCAAGAATTTTTCCAATAAATGGCAGATTCGATATGGGGCGATAATTTTGAAGTCCCGCAGGATCCAGACTGCTCTTTTTTAGGAGAGGTCTTATGACTGCTGTTTTTAGGGCCATAGGAAATGTTCCTGACGACAGAGACATGTTTACTATTTGTGTCAGTGAAGGTAACAAACTGCTCAGGACGGACTTCAGAAATTTAGAGGGCAATATATCCAGGCTACATGTGGAGGAGCTCAGACTCATGATTATCTTTTTGACAGTTTCAGTATCCACAGGTGCAAAGTGAGTTAGCTCAGAAAGCTTCTCTGGCTGTTGCATTGTTATACGTGCTGTGGAGGTGATAGTGTTTTTGATTCCTTGTACTTTGTCATCGAAAAACTGTGCGAACTCATTACACCTAGATTTAGAGGAAAATTCTAGGGGCAACTTTACAGGGGGGTTCGTTAATCTACCAACTGTTGAAAACACATTCTCTTCCTTGTTTCATCAAAACTCGATCTAAAATATAATGTCACGCCAGCACAAATCTGCACTACTTTTTATTCAAAAGGACGTATATCCCAATGCCCTACACGGACATGGATAGCATTTTAGTAATTAATACAAAAATAAAGTCAGTTAGTGCAGCTTTAAGGAATCACAGGGCTTTTAAAAGCGGAAACTCAAGAATTTCTGCAGCAGAAGTATAAATAAAATAAGATACACGATAATGTCGGCTAACACTGTTCCACAGACATTCATGCAACAGACAACAGTTTGTTGCATGTATTAGTGCCACTAATAAAGACATAAATGTCCAGCTATTGCATCAGTTTTTGTACACAGGCCGAACGCATCCAAGGAAACTCTTCACTGGTGATACACGGAATATGAAATCCTTCCTTCAGGCAAGCGTTATCAGGCACAAGTTAAAAAATAACACACTTTTTGTGCTTTTTGAATACATTTGCTTCCCAAAGCTCTTCATTTGAATGTGCACATATTAAAATGTGAATTGTTGTATGACATTTGATCAAAAAAGAACACAAAATAAAACGTTTTTTTTGTACTTGGTACCAGTTAAATAGGGCCAGTGGAAATGCTCCCAATCAGGAGAGAGTAGAGTGAAGTAAAGCAGAGAGAGCAGAGTAGGGCCAGTGGAAACAGGGCTTTATCTTTGTTTGTGTTATGACTCCACGGTTCCATTTCATAAAGCATATATGATTTTTCAGCCAGTGAGACACACGGCCCCTCCTGTGTTGTCCTAGTGCTTAACGGTCCTGTGTATCCAAGACCGTGGTTACAGTTAAATATGGTTTGTGTTTGTTCAGAGATGACATGGTGCTCTTTGTGGGCGTGGCTTCACCTGCAGTCCGGCCGCACACACCAGCAGCTTGACGACCTGTCTGAAGGACGTGCCGCTGTCGGGGTCGTTCCTTGTCGGAGCAGAGGTGTCGTCTATCAAACCGCTCTTGGCTTCATGTCCGAAAACACACGCCTTTATGGCCGGGAACAAAAACCCACTGCCTAAAAAAAAAATAAAGGGGTTATTGCTGTGCTGCCACGCTGCTCACCCACACCAGAGAACACATCACCCCCATCCTCAAACAACTCCACTGGCTCCTTGTCCCCTACTGCATACAATATTAGGTCCTGACCCATATCTCACTGACTTGCCCCATTGGCACCTGTTGCTCTGGCAGCTCCAACCTCCTCAGTCCTATCAGAAAGATGTGCCAAACCCTGAGCACCGAGCCTTCTCTCTCCCTCCCTCTCTCTCCCTCTCTCTCTCTGATCGGTCGCTCTCAGATCGTTCGTTCGCCCTCTCTCTCTCTCTGATCGTTCGTTCGCCCTCTCTCTCTCTCTGATCGTTCGTTCGCCCTCTCTCTCTCTCTGTCGTTCGTTCGCCCTCTCTCTCTCTCTGGTCGTTCGTTCGCCCTCTCTCTCTCTCTGGTCGTTCGTTCGCCCTCTCTCTCTGGTCGTTCGTTCGCCCTCTCTCTCTGGTCGTTCGTTCGCCCTCTCTCTCTGGTCGTTTGTTCGCCCTCTCTCTCTCTGATCGTTCGTTCGCCCTCTCTCTCTCTGATCGTTCGTTCGCCCTCTCTCTCTCTGATCGTTCGTTCGCCCTCTCTCTCTCTGATCGTTCGTTCGCCCTCTCTCTCTCTGATCGTTCGTTCGCCCTCTCTCTCTCTGATCGTTCGTTCGCCCTCTCTGGACGTGCCGCTGTCGGGGTCGTTCCTTGTCGGAGCAGAGGTGTCGTCTATCAAACCGCTCTTGGCTTCATGTCCGAAAACACACGCCTTTATGGCCGGGAACAAAAACCCACTGCCTAAAAAAAAAATAAAAAAAAAATAAAGGGGTTATTGCTGTGCTGCCACGCTGCTCACCCACACCAGAGAACACATCACCCCCATCCTAAAAACAACTCCACTGGCTCCTTGTCCCCTACTGCATACAATATTAGGTCCTGACACATATCTCACTGACTTGCCCCATTGGCACCTGTTGCTCTGGCAGCTCCAACCTCCTCAGTCCTATCAGAAAGATGTGCCAAACCCTGAGCACCGAGCCTTCTCTCTCCCTCCCTCTCTCTCTCTGATGGGTCGCTCTCTCTCCCTCCCTCTCTCTCTGATGGGTCGCTCTCTCTCCCTCACTCTCTCTCTCTGATCGGTCGCTCTCTCCCCCTCTCATCGGTCGGTCGCGCTCTCCCCCTCTCTGGTCGCGCTCTCCCCCTCTCTGGTCGCGCTCTCCCCCTCTCTGGTCGCGCTCTCCCCCTCTCTGGTCGCGCTTTCCCGTTCACGCTTTCCCGTTCACATCGTTCGTACCTGTTTCCAAATAGTTGCTGCGCTTCAGGTACCGGATGAGCAGGTATCCTGGGATGATGATGGTGGAATATCCCAGGATGTTCACCAGGAAGCGGAAAAGCCAGAACTCCTGCCATGAGTCCAGGAGCGAGGCCTCTGGCTGAGACAGCACCGCGGGGGGGAAGAGGAGCAGCACCAAGGCCCTCCAGACCCTACGGGACCACAACATCATCAGGAAAAGTACTACAGGACCACAAACACATCATCAGGAATTACATAGGAAGAAACCTGAACATTGAGCTTATACTCAAGTGGTTTCTTTATCCCAAACTGGAGTGAGATGAGAAAAAGCAGGACTGATAAAGAATGTCATGTCTTTGAAATGGTCTTTTTCAGATACAATTGAAGATATGATACAATATATTCTTAAGCAATTAGATAAGTTCTGTCAAAAAATAGCACCTCTAGACCCTTTAAGCACTCAACTACAACACTATTGATGAATTTATATTGAATGTATGGAAGATAAATGTATTAAATTATAGTATATATTGTGTATACTGGGGCCTCTAACCCTCAGCCCTGTTTAACCTGTAAAAAGACTAGTAGGAGTAGAGTGGGTCTGGTGGAAACGGGACGATAGTGTATAGAGTAAACTATTGAGCTAAAACAAGTAAAACTGGACGTACTGCTGTGGCCGGAGGAACCAGGGAAGCAGAGCAAACATTCTAATTAAAATATGCATTATTATTACTCTATAAACTACGGTGAGTCTGTAAATGATACGGGAAACAACTAAAGGTGTGAATAGTAAAGAGTTTTCACCCCAAACACCCAAGCCAACAGCTGCATGATCCAGGGGATTGGATAGCATATTTCAGACCGCACACAAAGCCAATCCCTTAAAAAAACCAGTTTAGCATGTTCATCCTGGTTCAGAGATACCACATTATGAAACCGGAGTGTCCGTGTTTGTGAAAAGGTGCTTGCTGTCGTGGCGTTTCGGGGGCTCCTCCCAGGGGCCAGAGGAACCAAGAACACTGCCACTATTGTACCACTCTCACAGCTACACTCAGCAACTGAAGGCTACCTGTACCTGACTCGTACTCATTTATATCATTTTTACCCACAGTTCCTTAGTCCTTTAACACAAAGATATTGATTTACAAGTAGAAATAAAACCAAGGTACAATATAGCGGCCATTTAGCCGGCACTAAAACCAAACTCTTTTATAGCCATGAGCGGTTGCTTTTATTTATTATGGGTCAGATGAAGGTGGTTGTAAAACTACACACAAGTCAAGGACAATACTCTACACAATGACAGCTAACAAGTCGTGGAGCCCAAACCCTGATTGTTTGGGCTGTTTTGAGTGACTTTTTGTTACACAAATGGAAATAAACTTTCCTTTATAAAGATGTTGTAGTGAAAAATGTTTGAAAATGTTTAAATTACTTCACGTGCATGAGAAATTTGACACGTTCCCATCATCTGCAAAGTGAAAAGCTGACACAGGTCCAAAATAACACGAAAACCATTCCCACTTTTGTCCAGAGTCAGAAAACACTGGTCTGAAGCTAGCCTGGTCACACCACACCATAGTACAAATTTCGTACTTACATGGAGTGAAATGATGATTGAGCGGAGTGTACGGATGGCTAAGGCCAGGCTAGTCTGAAGAATAAAAAAGGCTAGCCTTTTAAAATTAAATTTTTTAATGTTTTAAATCTCATTCAACCTCATTCGTCTCAACTTCTGCTTTGAACACGACCACATTTGGTACATCAGCATAGATCAGGGGGAGCTCACCTCTTCTTTACTTCTTTAGCTCCTAAAAAGGATTTGGACGTGACAGACAATCTTCTGAATATGATATATGGCTGCTACTATAACACCATATTATAACCACCAATCATCAAAATGACTTTTTTTTGGCCTGAAACAGGGTTGGAAAGGTTGGAAACCCCTGTGTAAATTATAGCAGTACCACAACTAAATAGTGTCTTAGCAGCGCATCACAAACATATGTGTGATGCGCATAATACACAACCCAAAGATGGAATTTTAATTACACCTTGAACTTTAGGTGTGTCAAAAGACAAAGGGGAACATTATGAAAACACTGACAGACCGTTGTTCGTTCTAAAGTTGTCTCTTATTGTCAAACTCTCTGGCACATTTGTTCTGATCTCTGCATGATCATGAAGCTGTAGAACACTCAATTCAAATGAATGGTCTCAAGGGCAATGTGCATAAACACTTATGCACTGTGTATTATGTATTTTAGCAGTGAAAAAGAGAGAGACCAGTAAGAGAGCGAGAAAAGAGACCAGAGAAACATGCAATAAATAATAAATCCGAGGCACTCTTGAAGCAAATAATAATCTTTTAATGAACTTTCAAGGTATGTACGCAAAAGTACCTACTATAACTTGGAAAGAAAGACAAGGCCCGAACCAAATCTCCCTCTGGACTTGGGATTGCTACACACAACAGGTAGAAAAGAGCCAAAGTAGTGTCGAAAGATGTCAACAAAAATAAACAATGAGAAGTGCAGTGAAGATAAAGACATGTGTTGTTCTAAATGATTTGATGATGTGAGAGATTGTGGCTTGTTTAAAGAAAAAATCTGTACCAACAACAACCAAACACGATATTGTGGGTTCTACGTGTGCTGGTCTAGTGACAGGGTGAGTTTGAGCACATTACCTCCACGAAATTGGCCGCATTTCACCGTCTCTTGGCCCCACGCCTGGCTGCTGCAGACAGACCCGGTGATCACGACCCTCCGCCCGGTTCGCGGCTCTGACCGGGCATGAAGCCGCTCACAGGGAGGTCCAGGCGGGAGAGGGTTTCGGTGGAGGTGAGGGGGTGAGGTGGACAGGGCTGACCGTGTGTGTGTCTGTCTGTCTGGAGAGAGGGATGTTCTCAAAGTGCCGATGTGTTCTGTGGCCGCCGGAAACTACGAAAGTCCTCCCTCCCTGAGCTGCAGAACCCGTGCAAGAGGAGCAGCGCCCTCTGCCGGCGAGGAGATAACATGGTCGGAATCATTTATTTTTTCAAAGTTATCACTACTTTGTCGCTAGTTACTTTACCTGTTATTAGTATCACTGCATTATTACATATCCGTCTGATATTTCTGCCATTCACCAGTCACTCTACCTGTTGATATTATTATTATTTCTGATGCTTACTCTGCTCATATTCATATTCTCTTATTCTCCGCTGCTAAAGTACAATATACACATCTGTAAATACTTCTGAACCAAGTGTAGTTATAGCCCCAGAGTTTATTTTATTTTATTTTATTCTTTATCTTATTTCAATTATATTGTCAATTGTCTTGAATAATAGACTCAATTTGATGTGTACAATCTGAGTGCTCTTATTTCCTTCTTTCTCTGCTGTAATGTGCGCGATGACACTGAATTTCTCCACTGTGAGACGAAGAAAGGTTTATCTTATCTTATCTTATCTAAGGCAAGACAACTCAAAGAGGTTCACAAAACCAGAATATAATCAAAGTACGTTAAAAAGAGTGAAGATTTGAACATCGTCAGAACAGAAGCCTGTCTCACATTTTCAGGAAGACTGTCCCAGATTGTAGCTGCATGGATCTAAAACGCTTCCCCGCTGTTGTTTTTGCCTGACTCTGGGTACCAGCAGGCCAGTCCCTGTGCTACTCAGTGTCCCAGCAGGATGTTAGTCCCTGTGCTCCTCAGACTCAGAGTTGGTTCATGTATGACATTAACATGTCACAGATGGCCATGGAGAGACTTGTACTCAAGCACAGCTGCTTTTGATAAAATAATAAATAAAAATACAATGGTCTTCTCTGCTCCACTCCCCTAATTGTGAATGCTGATTCTCAGGCCAAGCTGGTACTAAAGTGTTCAAACCAGCGAGAGTGCTGCTGGAAGCTATGGTTACCAAGGAATTTCCCTGGGCACTGGTGTGTTGTGGGTAGAGATACAGTACTACTGTAAAGGAAACACAACCAGGTAGAGCAGGGGTGGTGGAAATGGGGCTTTAGATATGATACAGATGTGTGGAGGTAACTTGTCTGAATTAAACCTAGTATTTTGTGGAACAAGTCAATAAAACCCATGGGAAAATATCTGAATGAAGTGAGCTGCTGTAGTCTCAGTGTGTAGATGTTGTGTAGCTCTTGTGTAGTTGTGCGGTTTCCTACACTGTGCTCTTTATGTAGTAAACAGAGCTCTGGGCACATCTTTATCTCTTATTATCTCCTAATG